CAGTCAACACCGCCCGCGTTAAACCCCTCTCGCGGCTCAACCGTAACCCTTACTCAGACGCAGACGCAGACACGGACACGACCAAAGAGCAAATCCAAAACCTTTGCTGCAGCGCCGTCAAACGTTAAAGTTCTCGGCGTTGACCTTGGACAACCAACCCTTGTTCTCGTTTTTCCCTGGTTCTCGGAAAACCACCGCTCTCCCTACCTGTACGTTTGCCAATCACGATTTTTCTTTCAGCGACAAGAAAAAAAAAATTAGAAGGAACAAAAATAGACCCCCCGGTCGAGACACGTCGCTACGAAAATGAATATGCTGGGCTCATTCGTTTCGAAACAATCCGCTTGATTATCTCTCTCATCCTAACGCCGTCTTTTATTTTTTTAACCCTCAAAAGTCTACACAAAACTGCGATTCAAAGCCACGATGGCGTCCGGCACCGATCCTGCGCCGTCGACCGTGAACGGCGTCATTGACGCTGATGCACCGCTTTGCTCCATCGAAGCCATTCCCGCCACTCCACCCGAGACCGTCGCTGTCCCAGTGCCTTTACCATCCTCCCAGGTCACCATACCCTCTACCGAAGACCCGGGCTCGCCAGTCGACCCCATCGCCTCTTTTCGGACGGAGGTGAACGACGACCGTGCCGATGCCGATGCTGATGCTGCTATCATTCCATCTTCCCTGACTCCTCCGCCCTCATCACAAGTTCCTAGCAACCCTAACGCGAACACGGTGCCCGTGGCATCTACCTATCTCACAGCGTCGCAGCGGTCGGCGTTGTTTTCCCCCCCCACAACCGTCGGGAGGGCGTCTCGCCCATCAGCAGCTGCGGTAATACCTACCGAGTACGTAGTGCCCAGTCCGCAAGAGGTTCGCGATGCCTCGGCCGACACTCTCCGGGCCATGATGCAGCAGTCCATCGCCGAGAACTCGAGGCTGAAGATGGAGGCGGCTCACTATAAGCTGCAGCTTAACCTGCTGTCGCTTCAGGCTGGTGAGGATGCCAAGCGGGCTGCTGTCGAGCAGGACATGACGAGACGCGAAGTCGAAGCTCTGCGCGAAGCCGAGAACATCCGACAGGCACGGAGAGAGCTCAGCACTGCTACGGAGTCGACTCGATCCAAGTACCTCCAGGTAAAGGCCCTCTACGAGGACGCCGTCGAGGAGATTGACCATCTGGAGAGGAAGCTCAAGCTTGCGAAGAAGGTTATTCAGCAGCAAGAAGATGAGATTGGCCGGTTACGCGAGGACCGCCAGCAATTGAGGACACGCATACGCGAAAACCGCGAGCACTTTACCATGCTGTGTAGCCCCGGTGGCATCTTTCACAGCGCATTGACGCCCAAAGCATCCATATCTACATCTATGCACGCGCAGCAGCAGCCGGGCAGGGGGACGCCTAGACAGACGCCTAGAGGATCTTATGGAAGATCGGCGCAAGAGCCCGACCAACGCCGCTTCGACGCTCTCCTCCAAGTGCTGAGCCAGGAGAATAACAGCGCCCCGTCCACCCCGATGGCTGTGTACCACCGCACGGCGCCTCGCCACCAACCCCCCAAGCATACGCGCAACGTCCAGTCGCTTTCATCGCTACCCACAACGCCCACTCGTATCGGCGCCGGCGTCGGCGGCAGTAGCCTTGGCAGGAGTGATGGCTTACTTCCGTCCGTCCATCTCGCGCCCCTAACGGAGCCCCCGCGACGATATACCGGAAGGAGACTGTTGCCGGACTCCCCGCGCCGCGGACATGGCTACGAAGCGGAAGCAGAGCAGCGCCGCCGTAGCCGGGAGAGCACAATCTCGGTGCCGGATAACGAAGAGCTGGCTCGTCAGGCGCTCGCATCCGTGCAAATGGCCACGTCTTCGCTCTCGCGTTTGTACGGAGGGACGGCACCGGCGGTGCACCCTCGTGTCGACGAGAGGGAAGCCGAGGAAGAAGAATCGGATGTGCCGCAGAGCCAGGCTAGTCTCACGGCATCGCAGATGCTTCGCCGCGACCCCAGGCAGAGTTTCGAAGTTGAGGCTGCCGCCGCGGTGTCGCGAGATCATGGTCTGCCCTCACTGGAGAGTGGCGGCAGTGGCAGAACGCTGCTTCCCGGTCTCGATCGGAACGGGGAGAAGCGCAAGTTTAGCGGCATGATGGTGAATAACGACCAGCCGCCTCGACGGGAGCCGTTTCTGGGCAGCCCGACGAAGAAGGTGAGGGTTGGGAGTGGTCTGCAGGACCCTGCCCAGGTTGGGTTAGGTATTAAGTATTCCTAAAGAAGAAGGGGTTAAGTTTCCATTGATGGGGATTGTTTCCCCCCCTTTTTGCTTTGCTTTATTTTTTATTTCCATTTTACGCATTTTCTGTTTGGCCTCTCCATGAAAATTGGTTGTTGCTTTATATACATTTTTTGGCGTTGTGCTTTTTTTGCCTTTTTTGCTCGGATCGGATAGTTGCACATCTGAAGCGCTGAGAGCTCCGTTTTTGCTTCCGGGGGGCATAGACTGTTTTACACTAAGTTTCTAAGGGGGGATGCTCCGTTTTAGTTTGGGTCTTGGCTTCGGCTTGGTTTTAGGGTCATCGGGATATGTGGGCGCGATGATTTATCGGAGGCTCGGCATTTCCTGGGCGGAAGAGGGAATTGTACCAGTATGATTAGCAACCAACGACGGCGTCAAAATGAAGAGGAGAGCCCGGGAAATGTGGTAGCGAGTTGTTCGTCGGTGTATCATTATGAATTCAACTCTTCGAACTGGGAGATTTGATCTTTTTAAAATCCTCAACTATTTATCGTAGGATTTAATCCGAGTACCCGATGGGATTCCCTGTCTGTCCCCTGTGAAATAGAATTCGTATAAAACTGTGTAGAAATTTCCAGGTTTTCCAGGGGTCCTTCTCCTATATCCGATGGACTCTCCCGCCTCCCGCCCCCTTTCGGCACCAGCCCAGTTCGATTGCCGAAATCAATTGCCTGCCAAAGCGAAAGCCCCGGTTTCGCCCCCCACATCACCTCCTCCGACCTCGTTTTTTGCTGCATTTTTGCTTTGCTGCTTTGGACTGGGGCAGTTGGCAGTTTCCTTGATTGGGACCGGCTTCATTCTTAAGCCGGTCGGTGTCCGGGATTTGTTGCTGTGACTCTTTTCTCTTTCTTCCCTTTTGTTCAATTTCTAAATTTTCTTTTTTGGATTCTTTCTCTATTTTTTTATTGTATTTTTCTGTCTCCGGCTCGATTTGTTCTTAATATCAGAGATCGGAAGTATCTATAATCTCATATTGCCGAAACAAGAGCTATTGAGATTGATACCACTCCCAGCGCCACTCACCGAATCCTCCCCCGTAGAGGACCCAAAAAAGACATCAATAAATAAAAAGAAAATTAAGAAAAAGACACCCCTCAAAATACCGCCAAAATGACCCTCGTCCGCGGCCTCTCCAACATCCTCGCCAAATCCCCCACCGACATCGTCATCCTCTCCGCCCTCCGCACCCCCATCTGCCGCTCCTCCCGCGGCCACCTCAAAGACGCCTTCCCCGAACAGCTCCTAGCGACCGTAGTATCAGCCACGCTCAAGCGCAACCCGTCCCTCCCCGCCTCCGCCATCGAGGACGTAGCCGTCGGCGTGGTGCTCTCCGAGCTAGGCGGCAGCAAGGCGGCGCGCATGGCTCTCCGGCACGCGGGGCTGCCGAACTCGTCGTCTTTGTACACGGTGAACCGCGCGTGCGCGTCGTCGCTGCAGGCGATTAATGTGCTCGCTGCGCAGATCCGGGGCGGGACGATCGAGGCGGGTATTGCGGCGGGGATGGAGAGCATGACGCGGAATTATGGGAGTCGGGCTATTCCGGTTGATTTGTGGCCCGAGTTGAGGGAGAGTGAGGTTGAGGATGCGAGGGATTGTATTATGCCCATGGGTCTGACGTCCGAGATCGTCGCGAGCAAGTATGGCGTTTCGAGGGAAGACCAGGATGTGTTCGCCGTCGAGTCTCATAAGCGTGCAGCGCGTGCCCAAGACACGGGCGCCTTTGACGAGGAGATCGTCCCCGTTACCACCCCCTACCAGGAAGTCGACAAGAAGGGCGAACCCGTCGGCGAAAGCAAAATCATCACCGTCACTCGCGACGACGGCGTCCGCGCTGACGTCACCCTCGAGAAACTCGCCAAGCTCAAGCCCGCCTTCAAGCCCGACGGCGCCAGCACGGCGGGTAACTCCTCGCAGGTCTCCGACGGCGCGGCCGCCACCGTCCTCATGACTAGGAGCCGCGCCGAGGAGCTCGGTCTCGCGGGGAGCGTCATGGGCAAGTTCGTGACTGCCGTGAGCGTCGGCTGCAAGCCCCAGGAGATGGGCATCGGCCCCGCGCTGGCGATTCCTAGGCTTTTGGAACTTACTGGCCTTGAGACGAAGGATATCGGCAGGTGGGAGATTAATGAGGCGTTTGCTAGCCAGAGCTTGTACTGCCTTAGGGAGCTCGGCTTGGAGGAGAAGTGGAAGGATGGCAGGGTGAATCCCGATGGTGGCGCTATTGCTTTGGGACATCCGCTTGGTGCGACGGGTGCGAGGTTGGCGACTACGTTGATGCATGGCATGAGGAGGGATGGGAGCGAGTTGGGTGTTGCGAGCATGTGTATTGGTACGGGCATGGGTATGGCTGGTTTGTTTGTTAGGGAGTGAGGGAGAAAAACCAGAGTGAGATAGAGTGAGAGGAGGCTGCTGGTGGTATGTGTCGATATTCCCTTTTTCTTTTTTCTTTTTTCCTTTTCTGCCAAATACCAGTTTTATAGATCCAGGGGAAAAACCCAAGGCAAGCAAGTAAATAAGCTTGATATTAAACATTTCCAAATTCCTGGAAACGAAAAAAAGTATTAAGGTTATTAAAAGGTGTATCTCGCCAATAATAATAATACATATCCACACATCCCTGGTGATATCGAACAAAAACACAAGGTGATATCGTACACAAGCAAAAAGAAGAAAGAAAACAATCTCTCCAATCTAAGTTCTTGTCCTCCTTATCCCTAATCCAATTCCTCCAATTCTTCCGCATCACCCCCTCCCACCCTCTGCCTCCAAGCAGCCGCCTCCCCAGCGGGAACCCTCCCCCTCAACCACCTCAGCGTCGCCTCCGTCCCCCTCTCCAAAACGCTAAACCTCGGCACCCGGAACCGGTTTCCCATAACATCGAGCCTCTCGATTCCCCCAGGGCCGCCGAGCAATCCGATGCGAGGGTTTAGATGCGCAATGTCGTTGTTGCTCGCGTCGACGATTCTCAAGCCCCGGATGGCCTCGGGGTCGAGCTCGATGAGGTGGTTGTTGGCCACGAGGAGGACGGCGAGCTTGGGAAAGAAGCCGCGCAGGCTTTCGGAGGGGAGGGCGGCGACGCGATTGAGCGAGACGTCGAGCTTCTCGAGCTCGGGCGCGTTGAGGTGCGATGTTAGCGGGGTCAGGGAAGTGATGTGGTTCGATGCGAGGTTGAGTTCGCGGAGGGAAGGGAGCTCGAGGGATTCGGACATGTACGTCTCACCGACGAGCTGGTTGTGCGCTAGGGAGAGCGCCGTGAGCGTGTCGGCGAAGAAGGACAGGCCCTCGGGTAGCGTGGCAAAGAGGTTATGGTGGAGCTGCACCTCGTTGATCCGGTGCTCCGCCGCCACCTTGGAGCACACGACGGGGTGGAGAGTCGACGAGCTGGTGCTGGATCGGTCGAGTAGTCCGCCCACCTTGACGGGCCACGTCTGGTTGGACAGAGTCTGAGCACGGCACCTCACCTGGTTGGAGAGGGTGCGGGCGCGAGACCTGGTCGGCGAGTGAGGTGCCGAAGTTGGTGGCGTGGCAAACTCGTCAAAGTCAGATGATCGACTCTCCTCGTCGCTACCAGGCCGGCCGGGTCTGGCAGGAGCCGGAGTCGAGGCGGGAGCCGGAACCGACTGAGGAATGTTGGCCACCACAGCGGGTTCCGCCGCCTTGGTCTCTTCGAAGTGCGCATCAACAACAGTCTCCGCATCGCCTTCATGATACGGCGGTGGCGGTTCCAGTCGAGCAGAGAGGATGTCCTTAAGCTCGTCTGTGGTGATCGAACTAAACTTCCTGTCCCTTAAAGGATTGCCGGTAATGCGGAGCATAGCAAGGTTATCCATGCGAGCAACCTCTGGCGGAATCACGCGAATGTCGTTGCTCGAGAAGTCGACGTGTCGAAGCCTATCCAGCGAGGTGAAGCCCTCGGGAATCTCGGAAATGCTATTCTCATCGGCAGAGAGCGTAACAAGGCTGTTCCAGGAGCTGACGTCGGGCAGCCCTTGCAAGCGGTTCATCGACAGCGTAAGCTGGTGCAGCGCCGGCAATCCGATGGATCGGCCCGGCGCGACGATCCGAGTAAGCTGGTTCGACGACACGTCTAGGGTCTGAAGGCTGGACAAGACGGCCACATCGGCGTCGATCAAAGTTCCGGCGAGTTTGTTGCCTCGCGCCACGAGCTCCGTCAAGGGAAGTTTGGCGAGGATTTCAAATGGGAGAGCTACGAAAGCGTTCTCTGCAATATTGAGGATGCGCAGACGTGATACCCTGTCCATGTCGGCGGGAAGCTCGGAGACCTTGTTGCCGCGGAGATCGAGAATCTCGAGGTGTTCGAGATTCGAGAAACTGGGAGGTAGGGCGCCCTCGAGGTTGTTGTTCGCGAGCTTGAGGTCACGTAGTGCAGAAACCTGCGAGACCACCTCCAAGCTGTCCATAGGGAGCAAGTTTTGAGACTACTTAACTGTTAGCTGCGTGAAGACGCACAAGACATGTATAACAGTCACAAAATAGAAAATTAGCCAGACTACTTACCAGATTTAAAGAGGTCAGCATACTGAGCCGGCGCAATCCAAGAGGCAGAGCAATCAGTTTATTCCCATGCAAATCAATCATCTCCAACCCTCCAAAAATGTTGCCCGACCCTTCCTCATCACTCTCGGCAAGGTTCTCCGGATCGACATCCGGGAACGCCGCATCGGCGATAGTCTCAAACTCATTATCAGCAGCAACGAATCGAGTCAGGTCCATGCTCTCGGCCCAATTTCCGCCGTGGGTTCCAACAGACTCGAGGTCATACATCTTCATGACCTCCTGGGGAATCTCCTTCAGTCCTAGAGCCGCGATATTGAGTCTGCCGCTCGTACGACCGGCCTCGGCGCGTTGCTGTAGAATCTTGGCCTGGGATCGATCGGATCGCTTCTGATTGAAGGGGTCATCCGTCAACACGGGTTCGAAGCCAAAATCGAAGCCGTGCTGGATAGCGTTCACGGGGGATTGTTGATGGCCGTCTTCTTCATGCTCGGCCACGACCTCTGGTTCCTTGACGACATTCTGTTGCTTCTTGGCCGCGGCGCGGGCTTTGGCGATCTGGTCACGCAGAGCAGCCGAAGATTTCCTACTCCTTTCGGCGCTAGGGCTGGGTGCGGGTTCGGGGTCGGGGTTGGGGGGAGGTATGGCTGACGTGGCCCTAATGGGCTTGTTAGGAGTAGTGGATACCTTGCGGGGAGCAACTGAAGGTCCAGCGCCTCGTGCCGCTCCGCTGGGGGACTTTTTGACGAGCAAGCTCGAAGACGGCTTCAATCTCAGGGGCTTCGACGCTAGAGTCCCAGTGGGTGATAGCATCTGGCTCGGCATAGAATGTTTCGTGGGACTTGGACTCCTCTCCTGCTCAGCCGCACGGGGTGACTCCAGCGTCGGAGCTCCCTGTGTAAGTGGGCTCGAGGGAGACCGCATGGCTTGTCCCCGTAGCGAACGGATGCTAGCTCGTGGCTTGGGGGCCCTGATGGGCGTGGCGTCAATAGTCGGGAGAGGCCCCTTGTATGTATTCGTCGCAGTCCGGAGCTGCGCCTCTGCCGGGGTCAAGTTCTGATAGCTATCCTCTCCACCGGAACTCGAGCTTGGGCGACTAGCCCCTCGAGAGCCGGGTCTCCGCGAGCCATCAGAGTTGTAACTCGAACCGGGCCGCGAGGCATTACTAGACGCTCTCGATCGCGATTGTGGCGTGCGTTCCTTATCGAAGAAAGCAGAGGGTCGCTTGCTCAGGGCAGGGGACGACGGGATCTGAGACAAGGTCTCAATGGTTCGCTCGGATAGGGAAGGGCGCGATGCCTTGCGGCGAGGTGGTGTCTCGAAATTGGGGACATCATCCAAAGTAGTAGTGGAGGGTCGGCTAACCCGCCTCGTAGCAGCAAGTGTGCGATCCTGCCGTGCCAGAGTAGCGGCTGAAACAAAGCCTTCGCCAGTTCGTCGTGGCTGGACGGCACTGTATCTCTTGGTGGTGGTGGTAGCGGCAGGAGTAGCGGTCTCCTTTCCCGGCTGTCGAGTCAAAGTGGCACTAGCAGCCCTTGTGCTCTGTCGCTTCCCAGGGTCGGCGGTGGGCTTTTTGGCCGGTGGCTGTTGCTGATTCAATCGCGAATTGGACGTCGCCGTGCGGAGGTTAGGCCTTGACCTCTCCTGTCGCAACTGGGGTTGGTTATTCGCAGCTGGTTTCGTCCTCCGGGCAGTAGTCGAAGTCGTAGGGGAGCTCGCGGTGCTCAACCGTTCCCTCGAGGGGGCCGGTCGGATTCTGGGGGCAGGAATCGAGGGCTCCGGAGCATTTAAGCTCTCTCGTGAGGCTGTAGGACGGAGGGAGGCCGTCCTCGGGACGGGAAGTCGGGAGACGCGAGGGATGGCGCTGGCCCGAGAGGGCACAGCTTGACGGTCCTTCTCCATGGTGTAAGGGGATGTCTCGATTTGTTTGCTTTAACCTCCGATGGAATGTGACTAAAGATTGATGGTGTGTGGTGTGGTGGGCGCCCGCACGGATTTGGTGCGAGTCCTAGCGTTCTTAGGAAGGGGCCAAAGGGGACGCAGCCATTGATTGTATGGAGAGAAGGGGAAAAGAAGGAAAAGGCTTCTTCTTGTGCTACAAGATTTGATCTGAGTAGTATTGAGATGGAAAGTTTATTTTATTTACTCGGGGATAAAGTATCGGAAGATGGAGAGATCTGGTGGAGATGGAATGTTGGATCTGGAATGAATTAGTGAAAAAGGGGGAAGCTGAGCTCCATAGCAACAAGGAGAGCTCACGAGATATGAGATTGGAAAAGTCAATAAACGCGACGCGGTGGAAAATACTTCACTCTGGGCAGGGATCTTGAGCATGTGAGCTCTCTAGCGTTCGTGTTTTAGCGGGTTTAGGGCTGATGTCATCTGCCATTGTGAGGAGAAGCCCAGAGGGTCCCCAGCAATTCTTCGAGTTTATGGTGACAATGCCCCTGAAGCCTTCGCGATTCCATCCCCTCCCATCCTCCTTGACAACATTGATGTCTTTCAACGTCTCCCGCGAAAGATGCAACGAAAGAAGCAATATCATCATCAAGCGATGAAACCAGATCTACATCACCTCGCGACATCACCTAGAAACAGCTCCCAGAGCTCGCCAACACAGAGACGTCCCGGCCTTAGAGGTTCCATGCTGGCGAAGATGCGCCCATTCCACGATCACTACCTTTTGCAACCTTGATGCACTTGGATCGAACCCATCGCGAGCGTGAGGTGGTGGGTGATGTGAGCTTTCCGAAAATATGACGCACCTTGCAACTTTGGCTAGGTTCTGCGGACCAACCGGGTGAAAAACTTCACGACAACTTGTCACACGAGACAGTTTGGCAAGTGATTCAGAAGAACACCGAACTATATAAGCCGGGAGCTACTGTACGAAGTCTAGATAGACCATCCCGTGCCCGAAAGGAAGCACATCAAGGTTTCTAAGGTTTTCTCTCCTTGTTGGCAGGTCCTAGCCGTGATCTCCTGCTCGATCTGTTAGATACCTGTGCTGTTTCTGGCAATGCTGCATGGCCAGACCAGGGCTGTGGGCATCAGTTTTTCCTTGCAGTCTTCATAGGTTTTGGGAGCTGCTTTCCACCATAACGTCAAAATATGTGTACCTCAGCAGTTCGTCTCAACTTCACCACGAAGTAGATCCGGTCCATAAAACATTGAATCCATCTCCACTCCCTCACCCATGCTCGCCTCAGCCCAAGCTAAACTCCGAAAGCACTCCACAACTGCCGAAACTGACATGGTTCCATCTCCTTGTTGGTCATCATTGGATAAGAAACATAGGGTAGAGCATTTTCTCCGCAGAGCCACGAGACATATAAAAGTCAAAATTCAAGTTAGATAATAGCTTATGGATGGTTGAACGAGACCTCGATGTCGCAGGCTGCTCGGGGCCAAACAGAGTAAGGAGGCGGGGTCTCCTGGCAAGTGAGGGTGGTCTGGCCGAGAAAGACCGCGTGTGTGTAGGTATGCGAAGTCGGGCAATATAAATGTTCAAGTTCGATGTTGTCTCCGAATTAGATACTGGATGCGGGTGTCGGTGAAATGCACAAACAGACATTCGAACGGCATAAGTTTTCACCGAAAGTCTCTCAACTCCGGGATAGACCCTTGATTCAACAGGCATAATAAAGGCAGGCTCAGATTGTCAAATGATGAGCCTCAGAACCAAGACGCCGGGATACATAATAATGAAGAATATTAGTATTCATTCTTGTTCTCGTATCACCAAGAGTGATCATCTCGACACGCCTGCTGTCATCCCTGTCATGCAGGGCGCCCGGCTATATGTAGAGAGATTCCAGCTCTTACAGAGTACTTGTAAATCCAAGATTGCCACATTTAAGAATCTGTATATGGTGCTATGGTACTGCCAACGGTACATAATGCTCGTGATGTTCTTGTGCCTAGGAACATATCGAGCTTCGCCCAACTTCAAAAGGCAGCTCAGTCTCACAACCACAGCCTCAAAACAAAAAGTGATGGTCAGTCTTCACAATCCTACCTGCGTGCCGCCCTCATCCAAAAGCCGTCCCCCCAAACATCAGATCCCTAAGGTACCCAGATCAGCCTCCAACCAAACCCACTAGCCCGTTCCCCCCCCCAATCCTGGCAATCGGCAGTTCTATGATTGGTCGAGAGCTCAGGCACACTCTCGCCCCAAAACGCCACAACACCAACCAGACCTCCTCCATGACAGCACTGAGGTCCGCGGATTCTTTTTTCCCCATTACCATTGGGGATCAGGCGCCGTAGCGTTTTGCGGGGGTGGGGAATGATGATATTGATGGCTGGCTCCATCGTCTTGGGGAAAGTGGAGACCTTCCCGGAGCCTAAAAATATGGAAGCTGGTTCATGGACCCATCTTGGTCTTATACATCCTGGAGCACACTGGTAGAGATGGTACTTGTCGTTTCGGCTGCGACATCAATCGAGATTGAATGCGGAGTTCTTCGCATTGATACAGCCGATATATGGGTTATTTCGCGTCTGAGAGTGAGTGTGAGGCGGAGGCGGCCGCTGGAGCCGAGAAAAGAGAGAGAGAGATGTGCCCCCTTAAATGTATCTGATCATCCGTTAAAGCAATGGGAGGGACTCTATTTGTAGTTCCCGTGTCGGCGATCTTGAATAACCGGCTCGTATGGGAACTGTCCTGGGACCACCCCCGACCATCCTTCCTTGGACGCCTCGTATTTAGATAAGAGGGAGAGCTGCAGCCATAGCTCTGCTTCCCTGGTTCTTCTCTCTAGCCTCTCATATAACCCTTTCCTGCCTTGTCTTTTCTCTTTCTGTCTTGCCGAGCGAGCTTGCTCTCTTTCGTGCTTGACGAGCTCGACGCTTTTCGAGGTGCTAGTGATAGGAATACGGGACAGGTCTCATCCGGCAACTTCAACAGTTGTTAAGACAGCTAACTTAGACCTTTCTATGGAGCCTCAACACTTATAACCTCATTTCTCCCTCCGCAATACTCGATTCTCTATTCAAGCTACGTACCACTCCTCTGAGTATTCAACCATGGCATCGACACCTCTCACCGAGGGCAGCGGAGGCCCGGCCACCAAGTCCCTTGTTGCCTCCCTCCTCTCCTTCCTCGCCTCAAACTCCCTCATAATCCTCCCCGCCCTCTTCATCACCCGCCTGATCTACATACGGTACGCCTCTCCTCTCCGCAAGTACCCAGGCCCATTACTCGCCTCCGTCTCTCGTCTATGGAAGGTCCTCTCCACGGCATCGGGCCGCACCCACCTCGAGCACATCGCCCTGCACCACAAGTACGGGCCCGTCGTGCGTATCGCTCCCAACGAGGTCTCTATCGCGTCCCCCGAGGCAGCTCGTACCGTTCTATCTGCCGGCAAGCACTTTTACAAGACTAAATTCTACGGCGTCTTCCCGCCGCCCGAGAACCCGGATATCTTCACCGAGGTCAGGGAGCATGTGCATGCTCAGAAGAAGAAGGTTGCCAATGTGCCGTATAGCATGGCTGCTATGCAGCAGCTGAGCCCCTTCATCGACGAGTCCATCGAGATGTTCATGAATAAGCTCGATGGCTTCGCTAGTCGTGAGCGCGGTGGGAACGGCCAGGTTGACTTGGGCGCTTGGTTGCATTACTTTGCCTTTGACGTGCTCGGAGAAGTTGCCTTTGGACGAAAGTTTGGGTTCCTCGAGGAAGGTCGTGATGTTGAGAACGCCATCAAGACTATCGACGATAGCCAATGGTACAACGGTATCGTTGGTCAGATTCCCGAGTTTGATTACCTTTTCAGGAGGAACCCGCTGCGCAAGTTGATTCCTACCATGAGCACCAAGAACGCCCTCGTCACGAGGTTGGCCCTGGCCGAGATGGATCGCCGCCAGCCTTTTACCAAGGATAACATGGGCAAGGACCGCGTCGGCGACGGCCGCCAGGATTTGTTGGCTAGTTTGATCCAGGGTCATCTCAAGGATCCCTCCAAGTTTTCCGAGGGTGACGTTTTTGCTGTTGCCCACGGCGCAATGTAAGTCATCATTCACACTCTAAAGCCAAGTGCACGATTCCTGGCACTAACCCCCTCTGCAGCTTTGCCGGCTCCGACTCCACAGCCTCTACAATGCAATCCTTCTTCTGGCTTGCCCTCTCCGACCCCCGCGTCCGCCGCACCCTCTTCGACGAAATCCGCACCGCCGTCGCCGAAGGCCGTATTCCTGCCCATGGCAATCTCACCTGGGCCCAATCTCAAAGCCTCACCTACTTCCAAGCCTGTCTCAAGGAAGCCATGCGCATCCGTCCCGCCGTCGGGCTTAACATCACGCGCGTCGTCCCACCTGAGGGAGCCGAGCTTGACGGGATTTCTCTCGAGGGCGGTACCGTCGTTGCTGTGAACGGGTGGGTGTTGCATCGGGATAAGGCTACTTTTGGACAGGATGCCGATGTGTATCGCCCAGAGAGGTGGCTTCAGGATGAAGAGACGGCTAGGAGGATGGAGAGGTACATGTTTCAGGTAAGGCGCCCCCCCTTTTCCCCGACCCCCCTGTCTCGAATCAAATCCTATGTCGTTCATCTCGAGGAATCAGAGATGGTTGCTAACGAGTCGTCAAGTTTGGCGGTGGGGCGCACGTCTGCATCGGAAGGAACCTCGCTCTGCTGGAAATCAACAAGGTTGTTCCCAGGATCCTTCGAGACTTTGATCTTGAGCTCGTTAACCCTAGCCAGCCTCTGCGGGCGAACGCTACTTTCTTTGTTGTGCAGGAGGGTTTAGATGTTTATATCAAGTCGAGGAGCAAGTAAACCCTTTTCTTTTCTTCTTTCTTCTTGTAGCCGAGTTCACGATTGCCCGGAGGGCAATAATGACCATCATATGAACCTGTATATGAACACACTGGAAGTGTGGGAATGTATCAAATATCAACGATTTTTATAATAACTCCTTGCCTTGGATCTGACTTGCTGAGGTGCCCATTGCTGACAAGGGAGGTCTACGGATTGGCAGCACTCGGCTGCTGTGTACATGTCGCACCCCCATTATGGATGGACACTACGTAGAGAAGTCGTGATGTATAGCTTTCAGGCTCGTTCAGGTTCGATCAACTCATCCGTCTCCGTGCTTCTGGTCGTCCCAGTATGCCCTGCCGACATCTTCTATGTTGGGGGCCACCGAGCCATCCACGTATCCGCTTCCGTCTCCGAACAGGCGTCTGTGTGACTCTCACAGGGATGAGAATATCCGACGGGGCCTGTACCGATGCCTGCGCCCCTTCGCTTGTCATCCCGGCGAGAAGGAGTACTTTGATCCGCACACCCTGCGAGCGTTTCGCAATCTCGACGAAAAGGCTGTTGAAAGCAGCGGGCCATGAAAACCCATCCGTCGACTCCACATTACCCCTCAAGGTCGAGAGGTCGACCACCAAGTACACTTCGCGTATACCGACGAGGGAAGATCCCAGAAGCTGCAACCAGTCGTGCTCCGTTGATGCCCCATGGAACCGAGCGCACTGGAGGGACATGCCGCTTTCTGTCTGCGAATCTCTGTCAAGCCTCAGCGCCTGAAGGATGAGATGCTGGAAGAGATCGACAGGCGAGATGTCGCTCGAGGCTTCAGAACCGCTGTCCGGCCCCGACAGTGCCCACAGAACCGGGACGTTTTTGGAGAGTAGCTGCTGGATGATGTTGACAGAGAAGTCTCGCATGGCAAAGCGCGCATTAAAGTTGCCCTTCAGGATAGCCACCTTTGATTCCTGGGCCGTCGACCAATCGACTAATCCGCGAGCTTGGCAGAAGTTATTGGTCGTCTCTAATGACCTAGCTCGGGTACGTCGCCTGTGTAGTGACAGGTTAAATTGGTAGGCTCTGGTTGGGTCTCCAAGTTTGCTTCTTGAGATAAAACCCATTATCTGTGAGAATTGCAAGTCGGACAGTCGATGGTTTGTGTCCAAGAGCTCGCTAGAACGTAGGGCTTGATAGGACTGGAAGTTGGCCATCAGTTCCGTAAGCTTACTGTCGATTTCGCAGACCCTGACTTGGGTACCGGCAGAAGCAAGCTGGGAAATATGGCGTGAGGTATAGTCGATATCATCCAAAAGGTCCTTGTATCTCAACTCAACAGGTCGCGTAATGCTATGGAGGAGATGGCGCAGCCTACCCTCCTCACACCACTCGTGAGCTCGGATGAAGAAACGTAGAAGGTTGGCATACAGCTTTCCTACAGCTTCCCTCATCATCTCGGTGGGATAGAGGACGGTGGCAAGCTCAACTTGGGGTAGCTTGTCCGCGATCTGCGACAGTGCTTTGGATATGGCGCAGATTGTGGCCTCATGGTTCTGCGCAGACTAGAGGTAGGTCAGAGACCCGGAAACATACACGAGGCTGGAAGAAGAAAAAAAGAGAAGATAGTAATAGTGACGATAGCATTAAGGCTTACAACAAGGACCATCTTCATCGCTCCCCAACCGAGAGCGACGTATTCAGGGTGATGCTGCACCATGACATCCATTATATTGCCATAATGGTGGATCTTCGAGATAATTCGCATCATCCACTTCCGGGTTCGAGGGAATTTGCGCTCATCCGAGTACTTGGCGAAGACGTCATTGACTAGGGTTTGGATGTCTTGTATCGTCGTGACCTTCTTGGCCAGCTCGATCTTGCGAGGATCTTTAGTGAGATCACGACCGAACCTGTCCACGGCGTCTCGGAACGCCCGCTGGGCTAACGGAGATACATAGTTGTTTGCTAGTCTTGTCTCTCCATTTTAGACCACTCAATCCATTGCCAGTCGGGGTATCAATTCGGCTGTCGTTTTCACTCACTTGGCCTGGTCAACGTTGCTCGAATGCCACGCGCTCAGAAAGGCAGACCTGGATCGATCCATTCCGTTTCAATTGGAATCTGGAAATCGAGGGAGACTGGATATGAACGACTAAGGCCCTTTTTAGGACGATCTCGGGTCGCCAATGGTTCTGAGCTATCTTCGTGAGTGCGATCTTGGAATATTGATCGAGTAACCCGAGAACCAGGAATATTTTGAATTCGAGGCTTGAATTTGCAAGCAAGCGGTCACCTTCAGACTGAGAATTCATCCTGGCCAATGATTTTACGCACTGATTTTACGCATTGATTGTAATTCCATGTCACACGCCTCACATTCGCAGACTGCCATTCATCCTGGAGCCTGACCTCGCTTCCCCGCTCCTCCACAATCCCAGCACGCGCGCTGAACTCCTTATCCACGGAGAATCGATAGGAAATTTCGACCGGCCATTCGGTAAATGGAAAGGGGCGATTCCCAGCGATTAATTGGGCTGCGGGAATGGGCCCCGGCAGGGTCAAGTGAGAGCGCCAACAGAGACCAGCGAGCACGTCAGAATCCTCTTGATTTGCCCACCCAAAGGTATTTTTTGATGTCAGAAAGCCATTTTCTTAGCTCAACTGAGGAGATTGGAGGGCAAGGCTAACCATTGGACTGCGAGAATAGCTGGCTTCGTTTTAGGGATAGGGACGCAGACGACAAGACCAAGATTAGCACAGGCGACAAAGGAGAAGAAGGAGAAGGAGAGGACATGGAAGACGAAGACGAAAGGGAAAGTGAAGATAACTACACAGACGAAGGCCAGGTCAGCCGTCCCGATACAAGCGACGGAGGAGACAGCACCGAGGACGGCAGTCCCGAGCCCACCACCAGAGAACCTGATACTGAAAACGCTCGGAAAGGATTTGAGCTTAAACAGCTTACACCCGCCAGAAACCCCAGAAGCACTGCAGGCCGCAGAGGACAAGTCACGGAGAAAGGTGGTGTCGGGCCCACCATAGAAGAATCCAAGTGTACAGATGACCGGAGGCCACCTGGACTTAGACATTGGGAAGACCTCAAGCACATCATGATTTCCCGGGATCGCACTGAAGATAGCTCTTTTCGAAAAGATTTACTCATCGCGGCTTCGGGAGAAAACGGAGATAAGCTTCTCATAGACGACGATGAGAATAAGCTAGTCGCTGAACCAACATTCACCAGGGTGGTGGCGCCATCCATTTCGGGGGACTACCAATTTCAATTGCAGCTTCTAGAGAACAAAAATAAGAGGCTCGTGATGGAGAGGAGAGAGAGACGAGAAATGGAGAGGAGAGAGCAGGAGGGCGGTGTTCCAACACGCAACCTGCCGGTGCAACCCGCTGGGGTTCATCGATCTCAGCCAGCAGAATCGACCTCCCGGTCAAAGACAGCAATAAATCAGATTCTTGAATTAGAAAAACAGATCGAGATACTCCGGAAGAAACAAAGGGACCTGGGCTCTACGACGATCCAAGTTTTGCATAAGATCGAACGGGACGACCAAAACGCCTTCCTCATGCCGCCCTCCTGGTCGTTGACGCCCGATGGGAGTCTGAAGCTAATTGGAAACGAACCTCTAGCTAATGAATCAAATTACTTATCCAGACGACCCGACATCGCTTTCGTTGTCTACAGTTTCTATGGCGAGGGCCACCAAAAGCAAGCCATAGAGAACGCCAAGGCCACAGGCGGACCACTGCCCCAGCCCGTGGTTATTCGAGAAACTATCAGACTTTATTCGAAGAAGATGGTCAATGCGGTGGAGAACTTCCTCGGAGCTCAGCCAACCTTCAGAAAGGATTTCCCAACCTGGAGTAGCATGTCACATATCGACTCGCCTTTTATCTTTTGGTATCACTATCGATCGAGCGGGTATACAGACATCATGCCTGAGCCTCACAAGAGTCAGATGCAGCTTCTAGGTGGGTGGATCGACCGGAACTATGGGCAATTATATCAGGACGCCGAGAAGAAGTTCTCTCGCGGTCTCGTCTCCGGCTCGATTATGCCCTTTTTCCTTAGACCCGGCGAAGCCTTAGTCTCATACGACCCTAAAGGTATCCAGGGTCACATTTCTAAGTCTTGGGTGGTCCGAGAAGAGCCCTCCCGTTCATCAAGTTGGGGCAAGGATAGTGAGAAAAAGAAAGCACGGTGGACTGTTAACTGCTGGTCATACTCATACAATGGCCGATTTTCCCGTTCGCCCTCAAAGTTGCTCATCGAGCTCAAGAGCGATGATGAACATTCAGATATCGATATAGCCAAACTACGAGTACTACCACTTCGACTTGCTACTGATGAAATACGCATAAAGCTTGAACACCGCGGTCGGATGATGTGGGCATGTCGGAATCGGAAGCTTGTTGCTTACGACGGCAAAGCCAGCCTCTATGGAGTGAGTTGAACAGAACGATGCTGCTCTATGGCCATACGCCACGTGCGAATAGTCAAGCTAATTTTTCGTAAGCATGGGGAAAGGTACATGATTGACTTCGCTACATACAAGTCCCTGCATTCGAAGGCTCTCTCGTCAACGGACATACATGGTCCCACCAAGGACGAAATTTCCGACAAAGTTATGGAACGTGACGAGCCTCCGAAAGCTCCCGAGCTGCTGGTGTTCCCAAACAAGATCAAGGGGTACAACCTCCGGCAAAAGACTTGGGGTAAGAGGAAACAAGAACGCAACTTACTGACGTTCGGACTGAGGGCGGTCAACGAACGGACTGGGTAGATGATCTTGACGTCGACTTAATGCACAATGTTGCGTGGGACAAGGCAGCCTTCAAAAACCTCGTCATCGATGATGAATCTAAGGACCTAATTGAGGCTCTTGTCACCACCAAGCTCGAGACGGAACAAGGCACCGATCTCATCAAGGGAAAGGGCCAGGGACTGATCATCCTGCTCCATGGCGGACCAGGAACAGGCAAGACATTTACCGCCGAAAGCGTAGCTGAATTTGCCGAAAAGCCTCTCTTTCGTGTAACATGCGGTGACATTGGCTCCAAACCGGAGGAGGTCGAGAAATACCTCGAGTCAGTGCTACATCTTGGCAAGATCTGGGACTGCGTGGTATTGCTGGACGAGGCGGATGTATTCCTCGAGCAACGGACCCTTACCGACCTCGAGCGCAATGCACTGGTGTCGGTATTTCTGCGCGTGCTAGAGTACTACGAGGGCATTCTGATCCTGACCTCGAACCGCGTGGGAACATTTGACGAGGCCTTCAAGTCACGCATCCTGCTCTCGCTACACTACGAGCCTCTGACGAAGGAGCAGCGACGCAAGATCTGGAAGAATTTCTTCGACCGGCTCAAGACGCTCGAGGAGGATGCACAGGCCCGCGAAATCGTGGGACCTCTTCGGTCAGGGTCATCGCGAAAGCGAAAGCGCGAAGATGAGGAGTCCAAGGGAATAGACTTCGGAGAGATCGAGTGTTGCCTTGCAGAGCTGGCGGAAGAGGAGATGAACGGTCGGCAAATACGCAATGCTATTACGACGGCGCGCCAGGTGGCCAAGTTTAAGGGTGTTAGAATGTCGTCGGCACACTTGAAGCAGGTCATCAGAGTATCGGGGTACTTCGAGGCGTATCTGAAGAAGGTACAGGATGGCTACACTGATGATCAGGTGGCACGGGGAGAAGGGATTCGATAAAATGTCGCTCACAGAATATATCCATAGATATATACCGATGGGATGGGGGTGTAGACGGTCAATCTCTTTCTATTAATTTCTGGCAACTAAATGATGAGAAAATCAAGGTGGATCGTCTTCCAAGTGCACATTTTAAGCTCTTCGTCCTCAAGACCGGCTGGAGGATTCAACCGAGAACAATAAGAATGGTCGTTGCCTCGATCTTCATCTTTCGGTCATGATTATATAAGCAGGCTCTCGGATGGAAGTAACAAAAGTCAAGAGCCCTGCAAACTGCCCGACCGACTTCCTTAATCATCCTCTGTTTCTGCCGTTCTACACCGCTTCCCTGCGACTGAGCCGCGGTCACGTCGTGCCAGAGTGTTCCTACTTTTAAAACTGCTAGTAAATTTTCTCGGCGTGGTATTAGATATTAGGTGTTCAGTATACAGGAACTCGAAGTGAATTTGTGTGGAATACCTTATTTTGAAACTAGTTAATGAAGGTGCTTGAAAGTAATTTACTCCTCCTCTCCGCCTTCGGTCCACCATAGTTATATTCCACGTATAGGCGTCTCACGGCGAGACGAAGGGGAAGGGAGGGGGAAGGGTTAACCCCTGAGTTAACCCCTGACCTAGCCCTCATTTATCGAGTGCCCTTCGCCTACGGTAGTTGAGAGAGTAAATACCGGGCAACCACCCCAAGTCTAGCGGTCTGCTCTCTTTGTTGGAGCATCAAGCAGACCATCTCCTCGACTTCCGCAGTAGTTACCTTGTTTGCAGGGTTGCATTCGTTCCCAGGGTTGGCAGGAAAGTGGAGGTCAACGAGAGCTCGGGTCGCCTGACCCTGCTGGTCCTTGACTGTATCCTGCATCGTAATGAAGACGTTATTCTGGGTGCCGCTACTCTTGAATCCGACCGTGTTGACATTGCAGATATTGGCGCCAATAGCGTTCAGTTGTTGTCGCGAAGCACAACCCCCCGACTGCGCGTGAAACAGCAGTGATCCGCCGATATCTGGCCCTGCCCGGGGGAGCTTAGGGCTGGAGGAAGGCTCATCGTGCTGCCACACGACCTGGCCATAGTGTTTCGAATACTTAATCACCCAGCTTTCATTCCGCAAAAAGTTTGCCCCCTCGAAGGAATAAACCCCAGGTTCGAGAGGCGGAGACGAAGGACCCGGGATGTCCGGGACAACGGAGAGGTCAATAACAACAGTCTCATAGCAAAGAGAACGACCAAAGAATTGGCAAAATGCGAGGGCGAGTGTTGCAAGTTTTGAGCTGAAAGTCATCATGAAGGGGTTTGTCTTGATGAGGAAGGGTCTTGATGAAAACTTGTTGACGATTTACTGCTTGTAGTGGTGATGGAATCTTGGGTGAGATGTGTTGATGTTGGCCTGTTCACAGGATGGGTACGGAGGTTTATATATACGCATTTGTCCCCATTTGCTTAGCCGTCTTCGACATCTACGGCCTAATGTTTGAGGGCAAGAGAAACGGCGGCAAGGCAATGATGATTTTTGAACTCTGTATGGAGATCGTCGGTATTAGCCTTCCGCTGCAGCCATTGCAAGTCAGTAAGCACTAACTAGACGAGACCTGCATGATGCTAGAAGGTTAAAAAAAAAAAAAAAAAAAAAAAAAAAAAAAGGTAGAGTCTAGTCCAAACCGATCGGCCAGTGCCTAGACCCCGTGTCATCTTGGCTCGGGGGCGTCCATTTTGAGCCAAATAACCAGAGCGATTTAGGATCAACGAATCGTCGTTAATGTTGCTGTTTTTTTTTTTTTTTTTTTGCTGCATGTGGGTGTCGTTGCAATCGTCTAGTTAGCGCTTACGTGATATATCAGTTATGACCGAGATCAAGGATGACATTGGCTCCTGGCTGGCGCTGTTGGTGACTACAGTTTGGAAATCCAACTGGCTAACTAGACGAGCCTTGCATGATGCCAGCAACAAGAATAGCAATATCAAGCAACGATTAGTCGGTGCCTAAGCCCCGTGTCATTTTGGCTCGGAGTTTTCCGCTTCGAGCCAAGCATGCAACCTTCGTCAAGAGAACCAAACATTGAGGGCTTCCCTCATCGCCACTTTATAATGATCCGACTGGGTTTGGGAGCTAGGTCATGCTGCACCTTCTGTGTAGCAGATTCTACTCCACAACGAAATATTCTCAACAATACTCTTCAGCCAAACGTTTTTGCATGACGAGTCCTGATTTATCTGCTTATCTTGTATTGGAAGTTGTTGGTTAGGGTGCTAGTGCGGAGTGACCCTCGAAAACCGGATCTTTAACGCAGACTGTAAAGGGACAAGGCTGGAGCCATGACGCCGCCCGTCAACCGGAAGAAGAAGTTTCACCGGCGAAGCAGGAACGGTTGTGTAGCCTGTAGGAAGCGCCATATCCGCTGCGATGAGACGAAGCCGTTCTGGTGGGTACCCAATATTGCCGCATCTGGATAGTATCCGCCAGACTATTGGAGCGCCAGATCGGGCACTAACTCTAGTACAGCACATGGTGTCTCCAGAAGGGTACCCTTTGCGAGTACCAGGAGGACTCAGGCTCTGAGGCCCAGGCCAAATACAAATACCCGGCTCTGCTGCCAAAGTGCTCCGTTAGTGACATGACACCCAATCACCAGCTGGCCGGTTACGCGGTTGAAATGCCCGCCGAGTCGAGATGGCTATTCCACCAGTGTAAGTGTACTTTCTCCCTGCCCGCACTAGTCAAATTCCCATATAGACACTCAACTAAATTCTTCAATAAGTCTCCACTTTTGCGTTCCATGCGCCGAAGGGGGTAGAACGGGGCCAGAATAATGCGGCGTGAGTAGCGATAACCTACAATAAACGAACCAAGTTTGCCGCCTGGATGTATTCGCTAAAGCAAATAACAAAGTCATTAGAACCCTCTCAAACCCCAGTGCTCTACACGCTAGTCTCGTCCTCTCAGCCTGCCAGCTTGCCTGGATTACAGATAGTGTACCCCGAATCAAGGTTGCGTATTACTACCATAAAGCGGCAGCGTACCGAGCCATTCGAGAGCAGGTTTCCGATCCTTCCAAGGCCACCAGCGATCTCAATCTGACGGTTATCGCAATGCTCGGAACCGCCGAGGTCCCTCCCCCCCTTCCCCTGCTACTATGTAACGAAACTATTTCGGGGTAGACGTAACTTATTTGTTTTTCTTTATAGGGGTGTGTCGGGAATTTTGATCTTGCAGTGGTCCATATTAAAGCCCTCCAAAAATTGGGAAGCTGCCGAAAGTTCCGTGGGCAGCCTGGCCTCCCTCAGCGGATGATTGCCATGTAAGTGATCCTCACTTCAGATGCGTCTACTGTAACTAACTCAGCCCACGGCTTAGAGCGAGAGATAACTTCCAGAGCGGCAAGAACCTACATCTCCTCTCCAACATTGTCCACGACACGACTCTCCTAGGCCTTGTCTCCATCTCAGCCTACCCCGACCCCTCCACCAATGCTAAAGGTGGCGACGGCTACCGCGACACATGCGCGCAACCTAAAACACCTGGAGAGCAAGCGTGGGTCAAGTGTGTCAAGCTCTTGGACCAAACCCTGACTCGCAGATACTCTTCTGGAATCGGCAACGCGTTCAACCGCCACGTCGACAGCAGCAAGACGGCCTTCATTACATTGTTCATGTACCTTTACGCTGCTCTACCCCAGTTCAATCTCGAACCCGCCTTGACGTTTTGGTTGTTAGAGCAGATGAGCTGTGATGTCGAGGATAAGGAGTATGCCATGGTGGCGGGCATATGGAGTAGCCAGTTTTGGATATGGGCTGTTATGTTTGGTGCCGCTGTTGCGTCTGCCTGTAAAGTTAATGCAGCCGCTGAGGAGAAGGAACTACGCAAGTGGAGGGCGTTTTATGATGAGAAGATGAGGTTCTTTGCCGAAACCATCAAGTCGCGCAGGTGGCAGGATATCCGGTGCGAGATTTGGCAGCCCGAGTCCGAGCAGGGCTTCAATCTGGACGACGACTTGAGAATGCTGTGGGTCGAGGCTGTCGGGGTGGAAGATGAGACTTGGGGGACTCTTCCTAGAGATGTCTAGAAAAGGCTTCGGCAGGCTGAGGTACGGAGCTTCATGGGTCCGGACGAGGTAAACCCTCTTCCCTAAGCCGGAGAGGTTACATACACCGGGCTCCTGAAGGATTCCGTTTTACAACCACTAGAAGGCTCCTGGGCGTGTTGGATGCGGCGCATTCGGTATGTAGTAAATCTACGGAACGCGAGCGGGTTGAAGGAAGATGCTACGTGCGTTAGAGATCACAATGAGCAAACATAGGATACTACTGTCACCCGGAGTACGTTAACTTCCGTTCCTTGTATTGTAGAATCGCAGGAGTACTGAACCCAAGGGATGCTTAAGCTAGCTCTAAACGCAAATGATATCAGCATTATTTCTATCGCCTAGACGTATTCTTCTAGGGGTATATATAGTATGCCAACTTAGCCCCTCGCAAAGCATATCATACAATGCTAGTATTATCATGCTACAATCATCGGGGCCCCGATTACTAGGGACAGGTGAATGCCTCAAGTTCGTCTGCTACTACCGGGTGAGGTGGTGGAAGGAAGGTCGAGAAAAGGTTGGAGCGCGATTATATGATATTAAGCCGCCCTCCGAAATAGCTCCCATGTATCTTCGAGAGGGTGTGGGTCAGAAAGGAAGGGTCCTGGGTCCAAGCAGCTGGCAGGCTCTAGGTTAGGCTTATATGGTACGAAATGCATGCGTGGTTCGCATATACGGTTTGACACCTGTAAGTCAAGTGTTCGCAAACAGCGAAAATTAACAAGACAGCCTCAGGACTATGGTGAATAGACGAAAGAGGCAGCTGCGCCTCAGAGAGCTGCCCACAGCCAGTTTGGACATAGTGAGACCGACTACGAAGTATTATAGTCCCATATCTACGCGACCGTCGGCCCTTTCACCTTGGGTGCCAGCCCACAGTCAGACAGGTCCCGATCAGTCGTCTGCGATGGTTGATCGTAATCTAGTAGCGGAAGCTTGGGTATGCCGCATTAGTCCTCGTAGCGGATGTAGGAAAATGCAAGGTGCCGTTGCCTCCGAAAAGCGTTAATGCCATTGGTCAGCTAGACGAACCATTCGTCGGTGCAATTGTGGTAAACTCGTTCAGAAAAGTGGGGAACTCGGCGATTACGTCATTTGGCACTTCAGATGGGCATTCGCCGCCTTGACCAGAGGCTCATTTCAGCTCCTAGAGAAGACAGTCCCAGGCACGTGATGCAATTTTGGGCGACTCAGAAACGGCAACTTCCGTCCAAGATTCGTTGCCCAGCTGAAATTACGTCGCGACAAGTGACATCGTGACACGCTCTCCAAATCTCGAATCTCGAATCTGGACAGCTAATCCCACCTCAAACTGTGTCTTCAACCCACCAATCACCCCTTTCACCAGATTTCCATTCTGCAAAGCCCTTCAGATATATACAACGAACACTATCCTAAAACCCAAAATGACGCGCGCACAACAAACCGTCTCTATCGGCCTCCTGGTCACCTCCGTACGCTCCCTTCCCCCCTGTCCCCGCGAATGCGATCGACAACAGACATTGACCTCAACTAACCACTCTCTATAGCTGTACCTCGCCCTCTACTTCAACCTCATCCCCATCCCCGCTACAATTCAGACCGAAATCGTCCCCGTCGTACGTACCGCACCCTCTTTACCCCCCCCAAAAAGGGGTGGATTTGCCATAAGCTAACCTGAACTTCACCAGCTCCCCTTTTGGATCCTCGTCTCCTTCGGCGCATACCTCCTCTTCAAACTCGGTTGGGGAGTCCTCACCTTTAACGACGTGCCTGAAGCTCATAAGGAACTCATGTTCGAGATCGATGAGGCGAAGAAGGACTTGCGGACCCTGGGCGTTGATGTCGACTAAGTCGGCTTCCATATATACAGGTTGAGATGAGGTTAGGTTTAGCGAGGAGGGGAGGAGGATTAATGTAATGTTACCTTGCGGGATTTTTCGTGTACAACAGTTTTATAATACGGGCGGATGGGAATCTAGACAGAAGAAAACAAGAATAAAGAAAGGACAATGCCTTCAACTCCGCTGTCTATCGTTGCAAGTAAACGAGCCTTGGCCCTTTTGATCCCAATCCAAACTCCGCCAATGCGTAATGATACCCCATGAACGCTCCTTTCCCAAAACGACTAACCCTGCCAAACCTGTTCTTCCCCTCCTATAAACCCACCCTAGTCCTCGTAAACAGTCAATGTGGTCGCATCCGATGTCTCTTCATCCCGCTCAATCGACTGCATTATACCCCCAACCCCTTCCCAAGAGGCACCATCCGCCTCTCCAGTCGTGGCATTAGCCGTGGCAGCGACCTACGCCGCCACTACATCCCTAGCCTCGGGCGCATCAGCATCGTATCCCACCAGGGCGACTACCCTCCTCACGGCAGCCATGACGTCGCTCGTTCCCCTGACGTAGTCGTCAAAGATCTGGGGTACCTTTGCCAGGACTCCGTTTCGATCTCCCCTGTGCCCTGTATCAAGCAAGAAATATTAGTAGACTGGTCCAGTAAAAAGCAAAGAAGCCCCAAACTTACAGCGACCCGGCATCCCAACCGCAACAGAAACCTTACTCCTCGCATCCCCCGTCCAGTCAAACCCAATCCTCCACCCCACCCTAACCATCAACTCCTCCTCCCCCCACCGTCCTAACCCAACCATCATCGCCGCCCTCCCCATATCGCCCCCAACATCCCCGGCGCTCAAGCCCTCATCCTCCTTCGCCATCTCATCGTCAATCGTCTCCCCAACCTCGCGATTATACTGCCTCGCCCGATTCTTCCAGATCTTCTCAGCATGCGCGTCCAACCTCTTCGCATCCTCAAACTCCCGCGCCAAACTCCTCCAGAACTGCGCCCTCTTGACGGCGAGACGGTACCACTCGCCCATGGCCCAGGTTATCAAGGACACGTTCCTAGCTATGGCGCGATCCGTGCGCGTGAGCACGTCCTCGATGAACGGGCCGAGCTCGCGCTGCGCGTTGGGATCGAGGCGCGGCACTTTGAGGTCCGTGATGGAAAAATCCGAGAGGTCGACGATCATGGTGAGGCGGGCCGAGAAGAGGTGGGGCGCGTCGAGGGCGCGGATGGAGATGTCGTGGCGCTGGATGTTGGATTCCATGTCGGCGGTTGTGAGGGGCGTGTTGTGGGAGGTGAAAGCTAGTGGGGAGAAGATTTGGAGGTAGGGGAGCTCTTCTTGGGCTGTCATGGAGACAGGGAGGTGGGATGTCGGTAGGGATTTCTCCTCGGTGTTTGAAGTTTTTTTTGAAGTTGTAGTTGTAAGCTCGGTTGTCGGGTTGGAAAATGGTAGCAAGGCAGAGGGATTCATTGCGCCTCGAAGCAGAGCGTCAATCTCATCCTGCACCGAAGAAGTCGCGTCCGGTAGGTCAGGCAGCCTAATCAGCCTCGGATGCTTCTTGATAAAGGGAATCAACTTCGCAGCCTGAGCCTGCATGGCCCACTCCTTCCCAAGCCCCGAGATCATCTGAAGATCACTCCACAAGTTTTCCTCCTCTGTCCGAAGTGTCTCCAAATGCTCCTCCATCCCCCGTATCTCTTCATCCGACGGCACACCTCTGGCAGGATGCGTCTCGACCTCAACTTCCTTTCCCTTTTCTGCTCTTTGCGGATTTGCCAGAGCATCGATCGCCTCATTATCTTCTCCCACGACCTCTTCTTGTTCCTGCACAGGAGACGGAACGAACTGCTTCTTCAAGGGAGATTTTTTCATCGGTATAGCGCGTATCCTCCGGTCCCTATTAGCCAGCCGTCTCTTAGTCGGCGAGCTACTCGAATGTATGCCCCTTGGCGGCGTCGTAACCGTCGGATCCGCAATCCCTAGCTGCGACGGAGTAGGCGGCAATTCCGGCTCCTCGACGGGTTCCTCAGCCACATTCGATCGCCGAATCCTCGGCCTCCTCTTGAACGGATCAATGAGCTCTTCCTCACCCTCCGGTGCCGGCGGAGGAAGCGGTCGCGTGAAAAGCACGGGCTTGGTCGGTGATCGGCGCGGTCTTGCAGCGCCGGCGGCCACCTTCCCCACCACCACTTCCTCCTCCAGCTGGGCCGTTAAGAGTTCCGAGAGGCTGATGTCGCTGTCTGGGCTTCCGGGAGTCGAAGCCGGTTGATCGGGTGGCCGCGTCGTTTCGGTTTGTGGTCGTGTCGTCGTTGTGTTTCCCCGCGACGGCTTTTGCTGCTGCTGCGCTTGCGAGGCTTCGCGGGCCGATTGACGGCGTCGGGCGAGGATCTCTGGGTTGTGTCTCGACAGGCTCGCCTTCGTCGGACTCGCGAAATCGGGGCGCCTTTTCCTGGGCGATTGAGAGCTGGGCGCATCGTTTCCGTTGGGAGGAGGAGGGGCGGTTCCGTCCGTCGCGTGGTTGTCGTTGTCGTTGGCGCTGGGGATGGGAATGGAGGTACGCGGTGACGTCTTACGCCGTTTGGAGGCGTGTGAGTCCATTGCGTTGGTTTTTTTTGTTTCGGAAAATAGCTATCGTGTCATTTGCAATGGAAGGAGGTTCGTGAGGTTATTTTGGTCGGCGGACGAATATGTGGTGGTATGTTGACCGCCTAACGTGGTGGGTTGGTCAACTTGGTGGCGGTTGGGAGCTTTGTGCCAGTGCGCGTGTCCTGTGCGACTTGAGTTGAATGTTTGGATAATCGCGTCTTTCGGAGAACAGCTGGACAAATTCTGCCGCGTTGGGATTGATTCACCGCCTTCTTCTTTTTGGGACCCAAGTCAGGTACAATTGTACATAGTACTTCCGAGGCCCCACTTAAACCTGTTATCCGCGGCAAATCCCGTTTCTCCGAGTCATCAACCTTGTATTAATACACGCACGCACCACTTTTTTTTTTCTTCCTGCCTTCTTTGGACGGACGTGATATCACCGTCGACCTCACACGACATCGAGATTGTCAAGCTCGAATTGGCGATCCACCTCAGACATTCGCAATGACCACGCAATAACGTCGATCTCTTTCGATCCGCGAAACGAACCACCCTCGCTCCAACCATGAATCCCTCCTCGTTACCATCCAGGGTCCGGCCCCTCCTCTCCGCCGCCAGACAAGCTCGCCTCCTCGCGACCAAATCCAAACCCTCTTCTTCCCAAGTCCATCCCCTTGGCCCCTTCTACAGCGCCGTCCTCGACTTCAAGCTTCCCCCGCAGACCCACACAGGTCCGAAACCAATTCAGCCTCCTCCGCCGCCCCCGCCACCACCATCAGCAACTCCCGTGGTAGAGACACCTCCCGTGGCAGAAACGCCTCCCGCGGCCGAAACACCTCCCAAAGCGACCAAGGCAACCAGAGCAACCAAGTCAACCAAGGCGACTAAAGAGCCTAAAGCCACGAAAGCAACCAAAGCCACCAAGGCAGCCAAAACCACTAAAGCGACCAAGGCAACTAAAACAACCAAAGAAACCAAAGAAGCCAAACCAAAGAAACCAACGAAACCACGCGCCCCCCGCAAAAAGAAAACCACAGAAACGGAAACACCCACGGCCAAAGCCTCGGCACCCTCCTCTCCCTCTCCCCCACAAAATGAACCCACCCCCGAAGAAAGAGCCGCCCTAGTCTTCGGCTCCCCCCATGGCTCCCGCCGCCGCACCATCGACCCAACCGCAACCTCCACCCTCGTAGCCGGCGTTCTCGTCCCCCCCAAGCCTCAGGAACCCGACAACTGCTGCATGAGCGGCTGCGTCAACTGCGTGTGGGATCAGTTCCGTGAGGACATGGAGGAGTTCATGGCCGCGAGCGCCGAGGCCGATCGGCGTCTTGCGCTGGTGGAGGAGGAGCGGAGGAAGCCTGCGGTGGATTTGAGCGTCGACGAGGATGGCGGTGGCTCGGAGGCGAATTGGACGGTGGTTGAGCCGACGAAGTTGGCCAAGGATTTGTGGGATGAGGATATTTATAGGAACGTTCCTGTGGGGATTCGGGAGTTTATGAAGGTTGAGAAGAGGTTGAAGGAACAGCATGAGAGGGAAGGGACGACTGGAAGCTAAATCTTTTCTTCTTTTTTGGTTCTTTCTTCCTTTTTTAAGATCTGGGCAGGTTGGGCTGACTCTACAATAGACTCTACAATACCCCAATCTTTGTATTTTATTAGAGGATTTTATGATTGTATGGTGGAATAGACTCTCCTAGACTTGGGTTGCACCTGCCCTTGTATGATAGCAAGTGATATCTTGTTCCTTAGCCAGCTCAATGGGCATCTTCGTTTTTCTCCCACTTTCACACCCTGCGGCCCCTATTCACTCACATCCTATTCACTACTCGCTCCGACTCATCTACAACCTCCAGCAGACGCGACAATTGATCGCACATCTGCCTTCTGAACACCAATAGCCATGGATTACCCCAGAACACCCTCTTCCAATGACATCCTCACCAATCCCAACTCCCTTACTCCCCTCAGATCCATCATCCCAACCATTCCATCTTCATTTCTTCTATCCCTCAACCCTTTCTCGCCTTCATCTACCGAGATGGCTGAACCCGAGCCCAGTTCGAATTCGGAGCCCGCTCCATCGTCGATCATGGGTCCTCGACCATCGTCAAGCGACGACGCCCTCAAAAATGGCAATCCCACCTCGAACGCGTCTCAATTCGACGCTGGAAGCGCCACGACCGCCCTTGACAGTGGCGACAGCTCTGGAGCATCTACCAAAGCAACGGGTACTCGCGACCCCATCGACTCGAAGGCAGGGGCAGCAGAAACTTCCGAGAAACCTGCAGCCATGGACCCTTCTGCTATTGCGGACGCAGAGCACGAAGGTGAAAAGGTAGATGAAAAGGCAGATGAAAAACCCGTGCCCCCCAAAAAAGGCATCTTGGCCAGCGCCGCCCGCCGCGCCGGTATTGGTGGCGCAGACCCCTCCTCGTCCAAGGCCCAACGAAGAGTCGGATTCTCAGATGAGATCGGAATACGAATTATCAAAGAACCCAAGCCCGACCTCAAGGAGAGATGGCACGACTTCCGCGTCAAGGTCAAAGAGTTCCTCAAAGAAGCCTATGGCCCCATCCCCATGCCGCCGCCCGAGGAGGAAGACATCCTCTTCCTCAACAGACCGGGTAATTGCCAACCGGACTACGATCCACCCAGGAGGGCGGCCATTGAGAGCCTCTCCCTCGAGGAGCTCGCCGCTCGTATCTACCCATTGAAATTCCTCGCAGAGGGCCGCTTCTGCCGCGTGTATTCGATTACGGATCCCAAGGACCGTCCACAGATCCTCAAAGTGGGCTAGCAGCTCAAGGAGGTCAAGAATGAATACAGCATCATTTCGCGCGTGTACGAGGAGTTCATCTTTTGGGGAAAGTGGCTCCTCGAGGGTCCCAAAGAGGACCAGGCTCTTGCGCGACTCATCGCCACTGTTCCTAGACCTCGAGGACTGCTCAGCGACCGCGACTTGAAGAAATTCTTCCCTCTGGTCTTCAATGACCCTGAAGTTCCCACTTACACTCCTGTCAACGGCATCGTCCTCGACCGCATCCGCCCCACGTCTGAGGAATACAGGGTTCACATCATCAAGCGCCTTGTGGCGCCTGACCTTCAGGCCTCCGCCATCAGCGATCCCGCGAACCAGTACTGTCTGCTCGATCTCTGGCTCGGTGCGCTCGATGCCGGCAACCCCACCAACCAAACCGTCGGCCAGCGCTCCCTCGGCCTGAACCAGATCCGCGCGGAGATCGGCGACAACGGCGCCATTAACGCGGCCGAGACAATGGCCATCGCCCTCGCCATCCTGCACTGGGGCCTCAACTTCGACGGCTACGGCGTCCGCTTCCTCGTCGGGTGCCAGCTGTCCCCAGATCATCGCCCTGTTTACCTGTCTCACGTCAACGGCTTCAAGACCTTCGTTCCCACCGTCGAGAACGTCCGTGAGATCCTCGTGCCTTTGTACATCAGAAACAGGGCTTGGCCGCGCCCCGCCATTGAGGGATTCGAGGGCGAGATGTGGCGCGCTTTTCGCAGGCTGTATATCGACTTTTCGTTGTACATCATCTACCGCGAGCGTCGCACCATGACTGTGAAGGACTATGCTGCACGCTGGTGGCTCGCTGGTTTCTTCATTCGCTGCATTGATCGAAACATGATCCCCGAGCCCAGGCTGGACAACAAGCACCTGCCTCTGCCTCACAAGCCGTACCGCCGGAGCGCGTATGACCAGTACCGCGAGTTTGGCCCCAAGCCACAGATCGGATCGGGCCAGGAAACCGAGGGTGAACCGAGCTACAAGCCCACCTCGAAAGACGGTCCTCCGCGTAAGTGGGGCTCAAGATGGCGATGTGGCCCTGACGGCCAAGGTGATGTTCCCAAGAGTATCGATTTTGTACTTCCGGATCCTGGTGAGGCTCAACAGCGTGAGGAGGATGCGGGCAAGAGTGGAAACGGTAAACGGCTTCAAATTGAAGGTGTAAACGCGGACAACAGCGAGAACGACAACGGCGAGGAGGAGAACGGCAAGGAGGAAAACGGCAAGGAGGAGGGCGGCAAGGAGAACCACGATCAGGAGAACGGCAAGCAGGAGAACGACAAGGCGAAGAACACAGAAATCTAAACGCAAATCACAACTCCCAGGCCGCAAAGAGCCCCATTCGCCCAAAATCCCAACGTTTCGACACCGGATCCGCCCGTAACCTTTTGTCTTGATATCCTGTACGACCACAGCTTTCCGGATCATTCGAGCCTCTCTGCACTTTACCCCCGTTTCGCCTTTCGCATCGATCTCTGTGTTTGCAGAGAAATCTGGCATACAACCAGCCCCCCAAAAATGACACCAAAACCCAAAAAAGAACTCAGCAACATTTGATGAATCCGCCAGAGCTTCCCCCGGCATATGTACCATAATCGTCCAGAGAAAAGACCAAGTTGAGAAACAGAAAGAAAAATACACCAAGTCGCCTTGGTAAAAATGTCTATACCCAATGCTTACTGCCCGTGCTATGCCAAAAAAACGAGTCCTGCTCTAAACTCTCTTCCTCGCTTCATAGCAAGGCGAGATGAGTTGCACCGTTTTTCGTAAAAAAAGAAAAAAGGAGCAAACATGAGACTGCAACGGGGGATGGAGTATAATAAGTAATGATCTATATGCGTAGAATGCCGCAACCATCCAATAAGAAGAAATCTGGTCTTCAACCTTGCCTCGTAAACGCCATTTTTCCCGATCTCGTATAAAACAAAAAGAAAATAAAATGAAACAAGCTATGAAATTAAAACCCAGCGGTGTTCCGAGGAGTTGGTGGAAGGGGGTTAGTAGGGAGGAGGAATGGATGGAGTGTCCAAGGCTCTCAGAATGCTACGGCACACGATGTTCCCAAGAAGAGTTCTATCCGCACCATTTACTCCCATCCCAGAGGATAATCTCCGCAAGGATCCGCAGGTACCCCGATGAAGAGGATACATGATCTACATCGGAACGTGGTGGAAGAGGTAGCTAACACTTTCGCCGTTATGCGTTCTCCGAATAGCCTCGGCCAGTGTCCTGGAGATGTCAATGACACATAGCTTGGGGCACCGTTCAATCTTGTCGCCGAGAGGGGTGGAATTTGTCACGACAAGTTTGCTGAGTACGGACTTGTTGAGGATCTCGATCGCTTTACCAGAAAGAATGCCACTGTGAATAACAAGGTTAGCCGTCTCTCTCCCGGGGGGAGTCTAGTTCGTAGGATGCTGGGACATACTGGGTAACGATCGCCAGGACCTCCTTGGCACCGTGATCCATAAGTGTTGTCGCGGCCTTGTCAAGAGTACCGCAGGTGTCGGCCATGTCATCTACGAGAACAGCAATCTTGTCCTTGACATTTCCGACAAGGACCATGCGTCCTACGACGTTGGGCCGAGGCCGCTCCTTATGGATAAGCGCGAAGGGCACGTCGAGGCGGTCAGCCATGGATGTGGCACGCTTGGCGCCGCCAGCGTCTGGGGATACGACCACAAGGTTGGAGATGTCGAGGTTTTCTCGGACCCACTTCATAACGGAGGGCTCGCCGTAGAGGTTGTCGACGGGAACGCTGAAGAAGCCCTGGATCTGGGAGGCATGGAGGTCGACCGTAATGACGTGGTCCTGTTCTCAGTTAGCTTGGGACCGCTCGTGTCTCCGCGCGAGTACTTGTAACGATGGAGCATTATTCTTACACATCCGGAGCTCTGGAGCATGTTGGCGACAAGCCTAGCAGAAATGGGGGCACGGCTCTTGTCCTTCTTGTCTTGGCGGGCGTATGGGAAGTTGGGGATGACGGCAGTGATTCTGCGGGCGCTAGCGGTTCGGCAGGCGTGGATCATGATGAGCATCTCCATGAGGCCATCATTGACATCACCGGGGGCGGTCGTCTGGAGGATGAAGACTGTGAGAGAGGGTCAGCCGCTGGATCTAAGATCTCGCGGTCAAGAGTTGAAGGCGCGAGGGAGGATAGTCCTCAGGTTCACCCAACATCGAAAGCGATAACATACCATCTTCGTCACGGACGGATTCACCAATCGTAATGGAGGTCTCCTGGTTCGAATAGGGAATGCTCATAGTCTTTGCAACCTCGACGCCAAGCCTAACCTCGCCACGAGATGTCAGTCGGCCGATCAGAGATCAACAAAAAGAAAAAGGTAATCGCGCCAGTAGAGAGGACTTCCGTCTCCACAAAGCCGTGGATGCGATCGCCGGTAGGGAAGTGAAGGGTCATACCAGTGAGCAACCTTGGCGGTGAGCTCAGGATGGCTACTGCCACTGATGAGCTTGATTTCGTTGGGGGTAGCCATTGTCGACAAGGATCTAATCCAGCTGGGAATTAGGAGTATATATGCAAAAATCGCTTGGTTCGGTTCCTGCGCGTAACTGCGATGCTGGATGACGATGAATGTCGCGCAAGATCAAGGAAGGAGGGAATTGAGGGACTGGAGTATTTGGATTGGAAAGAGGCCGAGTCCAATTCGCTTCGGATATGGCAAAAAAAAAAAATCACGGGATTAAGAAAATTATTTTTCTGGAGGGGCGGAACTTGGAGCCAGAAACGGAAGGCGGGGTCGATTTCCGAGGTGAAGGGGAACTGGAAAGCCCGTCCCCGGCCGAGTTTAACCTAGCGGGTACTCTAGCGGGAAAGCGCGTGGCGGATTGAGAAACAGACGACTGGCAACGGCTGGTGACGGCCTGCTTGGCGATAGAGCGTAGTCTGTGTTGGGGGCCAAGTATTTGATGTGTTGGTGGGGAAGGGATTCATTGAAAAATGAGTTTGATCAAATGCTGTTTCATGGAATCGCGAAACCTGCGACAGAAGGTTGTAGAGAATGAAGAAGACATTTAAACAATCGCTCCATGTCACGACGAATGCGCGTCATTCATGGAATTGACGGTGCAATCGGGGAAGGTCCAAGTTGGCCGCTCTTGCCAAGAATCGATCTGAGCATCAATGCGATCCGGACCCGCGAGGTTCGACAAAGTGTCGATCAATTTACAAAAGACTTAGTTTACTCGATTCAGCCCTATACCGCCTGACACTACTTCGTAGTCGTAGAATAGTTCAATGTTGCCGAACTCAACATTGAACTTACACCAAGCCTCAAGGCTTAACGCGAGGGGGCTGAGACACCACATTCATCCAGCCTATTGTCAACGGCTTGAAGTGAAATGTCGTCTAGACCCGCAAATCCAGGCCAAGTACTTCGTAAGAGTCCATGAGATAAGATAGCGAAGTGAGGACCCCGTCTCCGTTCCAAGTTGTCCCTCATTGTTGATTAATGATCCCCGGAAAGCTCCGCTGTCCGCCGCATTCCTCCATTAATTCGCTTTTACTCCTCAGCTATGACGCGACAAAAGTTCTCGTGAAAAATGACCTCACGAGCTACACCACAAAATTAGTCGAGGTCCTGTATCCACTCTGCCACTTGATCAATTGATGCCCTTGGGAAAAAATTTTCTGTTGCTCTGCCTCTTCGATTATTTTCTTAAATAGACCTCTTTCCTATCTCTAACTTGTTTTGAGGAGAAGAAAGTCCGCATCTCAAGAGCGCAATCCTAGTTCCTGTCTCTGATTTTGCACGATCTCTTTCCCATTTCAGTCCCCACCAAAACGACCCCGCCCCCGCAATCATTTTGGTCTTTCCTCTCTCATTCGCATCGACATCATCACCATCATCACACACACACGACACTCGCCACAAATAGTTTATAAGTAGGCCTCGTGCAGCCCACTCCCCTCCTGTCCAGCAATCAGCGAATACGAACAAGCCTGGATAACACACCACCTATCTCGAGCTCAATCCTCAAGTGAAAATCACCCAACCATTTTCGCCTTCGCATTTGACAACCCCGCACCGCATCCGCAGTCGACTTATAGACGAGAGAGATCACGAAATTCTTAAGAGCTCTACCGAATCCTCTACACATTACACCATATCCGATTTGCGCTTGGAGACACAAAACATTAACAAAATGGTCGAGAAGCTCTTTGTAACCTATAACGATGTAACTTCCTTCCTCCCCCGGAGCTGACCTCCCATCCAATCCCCTTCCTAACCGATCTCTCCAGGTCCACAAACTCTGCCAGGAAGCGGCTCCCCGCATCCTCGAACACATCCAACCCGACCTCATGATCGCCATCGGCGGCGGTGGCTACGTGCCCGCCCGCATCCTCCGCTCTTTCCTCAAGCGCCAAGACGGCCCCAACATCCCCATCCAGGCCATCGGCCTCTCCCTCTACGAGAGCCTGCCCTCCCTCATCGGCACCGAGCACGTCATAGAGATCCCCGGAACCAAGGTCACGCGCACGCAGTGGCTCGATCTCAGCTCGCTCGGCCAGATGGAGAACCTCGTGGGCAAGAATATCCTCATCGTCGACGAGGTGGACGATACGAGGACTACGCTGGATTATGCTGTGAGGGAGTTGGAGAAGGATGTTGAGGCTGCTAGGGTGAGGATGGGTTCTAAGGCGCCCCAGACGAAATTTAGCATTTTCGTCCTACATGTGAGTCTCGGTTACCTGCAGGTGGTGCTGGTGCTGGCCTCTGATCATTTTTGTTCCTTCGCGACTCTAACAATTTTATCTCTCTCTCTACAGAACAAGGATAAGGAAAAGAAGGGAACCCTCCCTGACGAGGTCATCAACGACGGCCGGTACATCGCTGCCAGGACCGTCAAGGACGTGTGGATTTGCTATCCTTGGGAGGCAACGGACATCGATGAGCATGACAGGCAAGCGGCTGAGGCTGCTGCTACAAAGAAGAGTGCTCAAGCTTGACTCTAGGCTCTTCTTTTTTTCTACCCTTTTTCTTTCGGTTAATTAGAGTGTGCGAGGCGTGATTCCTGGGCTGGAGTTGTGCATGGATATGTTTCGATAACCTCTCGGGCAATTTTGTGAGTTTTATCAAAAGCATTGTGAGTGAGAGTGAATAAATTGGTTCATTCGACCGTTGGAAGGAATGGAGAGCAATTTGGATCCATCGATCCCCCTTCAGCCCATTACTGCACGTCCAAATCAAGACCCAAATACCTACCATCCCAAAAATACCAAGACCCTTCCCTGTCAAAGAAGACGTCAAAACAGCTCAGCGAGCCCTTCTAACCTATGCAGCAACTATCCTCGCCGCAGCTTGCGGCACCTCCCCCAATTTCTTCTCCGCCATATTAAACGAGGGAAATCCCTCCCCAGACTCGTTGAGCCCCCACGCCCCCAACCCATCATCATGCACCGTCGTCCTCCTCAAATCCCTCTTAAACTTCCCCTCAAACTCGCCCCCCATGGCCCTATGCACCGTCGACCTATTATCCCAAATGACAATATCCCCAGGCTGCTTCCATTCAACCGTAACCCGAAACTCTTCCCTCGCCAGCCACTCCTTCAGATAATCCCTCAGCTCATCACTCTCCTTCGCCCCCAACCCTTCGATATGATGCAAATGCGCGCCCACGTACAGCGTCATGCGGCCCGACTGCTCATGCAGCTGCGTGATCCTATGGCGGGCCATGGAAAAGGTCTCGGGAGCCAGCTCGGCGAAGAACTCCGGCGACCCGAGCTTGCGCGACTGCGCGTACGTGTGGGCGCCGACGTAGTCCTCGGTCAGGAGGGTGGATTTGAGCGGCTCGGGGAGGGAGGCGAAGGCGGCGCGGGAGTCGGCGAATTGGGTGGCGCCGCCTGTGTTTGGGGGTGGGAGGATGGCGGCGCGGAGGAGGCAGTAGGAGGCGCGGCGGGGGTTGTAGCTCGAGTCGCTGTGGAAGAGGCCGTTACCCTTTGCGGAGTGTGTTAGTATGTACGGAATATATATTCGTCTATTTCTATACATTATTTTTCAAGGTGGACGCAGTGAGTTCAATGGCGAGGGAAGTGGAGAAATAACTTACACGGTTGGCGTGCGCCCGAGCCGAGTTCAGATCCAAAAGCTCATTGTTCTCGTCAACATTACTAGCGTCGAACAGCTCATAGTGAGCATAGCGCATCTTGCGCCCCGGGTGGATGAAGCGCCTGATATCATCCAGGTCGCCGAACTGGCGCGAGAGGGCGACGTGACCCTCGTCGTCGAGCCCCGTGTCGCGGAGGACACAGACTCCATACTAAGAACAGAGAGTCAAACCAAGAAGCCTTTTTTTTGTCCAAATGTTCTGGCGTACCTTGTCGACGGCAGCTTTGATCTCGGAGACAGTTTCGGGGGTGATGTTGGGCCAGTCAATGCCTTTGAGCTCTGCGGCAAAGGTGGGGTGGAGTGGATGGGCTTGGAAGTGTTTGAATTCGGACATTGTGTCTTCTTCTATTTTTCTTTTAATCATGGGCTCAAATCGGATTTTTCTTTGAAACTTGAAGCTCAAGTGGTTGTTCTCAAGAGAAACAAGACGTTCACGATTCCAGATCACTTCCGCTCAGATACAAGAACGTTGGCTTTCAAGCAAGCCCCCTCCCGGCTTTAATAAATCCATGTTCAAGTCTGTCTGCGGGGATAAACTTGGCGTTGATCTGCGCCTCCGGTCCGGCCGAGAATATGTGTGACATATATCCAGGTTAAATAATTGCGCGGGAAGCGGCAGTTGTTCGATCGACTAATTCCTCACTCGCTCGCATCCATGTTGCCGGACGGGTGGTGGTGTAGGCTGGGCGGCGTTCATCGCAACGAACTCTGCCCACGATGCAAAAATTGGACGGGATATTGGGGTTCTGAACAAAACTTCGATAGATAGCCACCGCGAAAACGCGCCGAGGTAAAAGATAGGTTTGATATTGATCTTGATCTTGCGGTGTGATGATACTAGTGGAAAATGTGTCGATTGTGCCAGCCAAACCTTACGAAGTACGAAGCCTTTGGCGATACCCCAGCATTTTCCGTCAAATGGAGTCTCGAGCTTCAAATGGGTGCCTGGATCGAGGTCCCCAGTACCTTGGCTGTGGCTGTCTGGTACATCAACTTACAGTGCCTCGATCCTGTACTTCGTACCACCCGAGGTGAACTTAAGACAGGTTTCTTTATGACAATCAGTACGGAGTACAGAGACCGCAAGCGATCCAGACACAGATAGCAATATTCCGTTTTATCTTTGCTCCATGAAACTATCCCTGTTTCTGGATGCAGCTTTCGTCTTCTCAATGATAACAAAATATTTGATCGTCCATTAGACGCCAACGGGCAATGAGTAAATTGCGAATGAAGAATACACGTTCGTCGCGGCACTCACTGCGGCTTCCGACACGAGCTGCTTGACGTCACCACTTAGCAAACCCTGTCTCGTAACTGCCATAATGCTCGCTTTCACAAGCTTCGAAGTTCGATTCTGCCCTGCCCTTGCACTCAAAGCTCCAAGTCTGTGTAGGGACCCACTTTTCTGCTCTGAATGGTCCGAGATGTCCGGCGTCTCAGCGCCATCGCAGTCACCACCGCCACTGTCTCCTACTACACCTCGGTCGCGGCTCGTGCTTTTCCATCACTGCTTCCCTCCATGACCGGACGAGATCAGTGGTCTTACCTCGCTCAATCCCTGTCTCGCTCCTCGCCTTCCCTTACGCAAGTACTAACTGTAGCCAGCCCTCTCGTATACTTGGTCCCCTGCCTACTTGCTCGCTTTGCTCCGGACTCCGCTTTCTCCGGAAACCTTCCTCTTGCTGGACCGCTATCGAGAGCATTTCACTTCTTAGCTCGATCTCGTTATTTTATCGTCGGCCTCTCTCACTCCCCTTGTTTCTTATTTTTCTCCTTCTCTTCTTTTTTCTCAAGGTGCCGCAGCGCCCTTGTCTGTTTAGCTAGGAATACAGTTATCCATATTTAGCTCCTAAACTCCCGCGCATTCCTTATTACCGCCCCCAACTGTTTATCAAAGCTTCTCCTCGCGTTAACTGGCGACAATGAGTACGACGGCGAAGTTCGTCAACTACCCGGAGCCCCAGCGGGGGTATGTGATTGTCGTCCTCAGTCCTCAACTAGGCCCGAGTTTTTGCTAACCTGCAATGAAGCCCCGATGTTCCCTACAAGCCCGAGAAGAAATCCAACCCACCTATGAGGGGGACCTCGCTCATGGTCGGCGCATATTTGTAAGTGGGTCCTGTTGAATGTGACTTGACTTTAGATGAGGCTGTCGGGTGGGCAGCCATACTAACTCTGTGCATCCAGTATGGAGTCATCTGAGTGGCTGAGGGGCTACATCTGGAGGAATGCAGGCTTTGGAAACCTAAGAAGCATCCGTTCTCATATCGAGGATTACGAGCCTCGCTACGATCCGACGGTCGTGCCTATAATCCCCCCCGAGTCTTCCGAGAAAAAGTCCGAGACCAATGGCGTGAAAAAAGAGTGCTCTTTCTCGTCAAAACGAGGCGCTCGACTCTCTGGGTATTACTCCATTGCCGACTACCACAGGCTCTACCTGTCTGGGGAGATTTCTCCTGTTGCTGTCGCTAGAGCTATTCTGCCCTTAATTCGCAGGGATGTTGAAAAGCCTACTCAATACTCCGTCGCCTGGTTCGATACCAAGGTGGAGCAGGTTATGAAAGCCGCGAGGGCCTCAGCGAAGAGATATAAAGAAGGGAAACCTCTTGGTCCCATGGACGGCGTCCCGACAGCCGTGAAGGATGAATACGAGATAGATGGTTACAGGACGTGCCTAGGATCCCGCAATGACTACACCGCTCCGGTTACAGATGGCGCCAGCATAACAAGCTGGTGTGTCCAGAAACTGGAAGAAGCTGGTGCTATTGTTCTTGGAAAGCTTTCCATGCACGAGTTTGGTCTCGGTAAGATATCCGCGCATGTTCTTCAGCGGTAGCCACGGCTACAATTTATATATATCCTGACCAAGCCTTGCTGACCAAGGACTTAGACACGACTGGAAACAACCCCATTTACGGGACTCCGAGGAATCCTTACAACGACGAGTACTACACTGGTGGGAGCTCGTCCGGAAGCGGGTACGCCGTCAGCAGTGGACTAGTCGCGTTCGCTCTCGGAAGTGATGGTGGAGGCAGCATCAGGATTCCCGCGTCCTTCTGCTCCGTGTTTGGACTAAAACCAAGTCACGGTCGAGTCTCCTTTCGCCCAGGCCCAAACCACAGCATCACCTGCGCAGTGAATGGACCCATTGCCGCCGATATCGCCTCACTGGCTGCGCTATTCGAGGTGATCAGCGTGCCGCACCCCACTTCCGGTTTCCCTCACCCTACAGCCTTCGGCGTCCCGGATAATGCGCAGCGGAACAGAGTCTTGGGCATTCCCGAAGATTGGTTTGCGGATGCCGACCCGGGCGTCCAGAGCCTTTGTCGAACGATGGTAGATAGGCTTGTCAAGGAACACGGTTACCGAGAAGTCCCAATCAAAATCCCATTCTTGACAGAAGGCCAGATTGCCCATGCACTGACTATCCTTACGGACGGCGCAACGCTCCTACCAGAGACCAAGAACCTCACATATGCAAACAGAATCTTGCTCGCTATTGGGCGCACGACTCCAGCTACTGATTATCTCCTCGCTCAAAAACTACGAGGCCTGCTAATGAAACATCTCGCATACCTCTGGAAGACGTATCCGGGAATGATTATTGTTACGCCTACAACGGCCTGCGCCGGATGGAAAATAAAGACCCAATCAGAATTGAAGGAAGGCTTCAGCGATGGGGACAAGACCCTTAGGTCAATGACGTATGTATGGATGGCCAACTTCTGCGGCCTCCCGGCCCTGACCGTGCCCGCGGGTTACGTCGTTCCAGAAGGTCATCCCGACGCAGGATCAGTAGCGGACGAAAAGGTGGAAGGAAAGGTCCCGGTCGGGCTAATGGGCACAGGCGAGTGGACTCAGGAGCACAACTTGCTACAATTTGGGGTCGACGCGGAAGCGGTTGGTGCCGATGTTCGGGTGCGCCCGCCGATTTGGGTTGATGTGGTTGCGAAGGCTCGGGAAGAAATGAAGAATGGCGATGCGGGAGACCTCTGGGGTGCATAGGGCGGAATGTGTGTGTTGCTATGACGAATCTCCGCCGCGATCTGGGATTGAACTGACCACATTCTGTCTTACCTCGGGGAGAACAGCGAGACGGCTAGTACCCGACGCTCACTCTGGAGGGATGACGGAGTGATGTGCGGGGATTGCGGAATCCCCGACTCCGATACTCCAAGTTTTAGGCCAGCCTTGGTCTCATTCAAGTAAATTATTCCCGAGTAGATACTAGACAACTAGGATTATTCAGTATTTCTATCAACACATGATCTTAACCTTTCTGATTGTAATTGGGATTAAAAAGGATTGAAAGAGAGTATTGGAAGATGGGATTTACTGAGAGCTTGCAGAAGACAAGCCATTGTTTTATCTCCTCTCACATGACGCTTGTTCCTGGGCAACTGTATCCACCCGGCACCCCAGGCACACCTCCTTCCCAGACTCACCCGTTGAGTGAGCACGGGCCCTGCATGTAGCCAAATCAGAAGCAATGGTCGTCGCCACATGACGCAGAGGATGGAGAGAGCCAAGGTGAACCTGGAGTGATGTCTAGCCGGTTTCTTGTTTCCATACCCAAAGCTTCTTTTGCAAGGCTGATGATTTACCTTCTTCATGCACTGAACAATTCTATCTTTGAGCCACCTGCCTAAAATCCTCTCTCAGTTTCCAGGGCAGTTCATTACACCAGAAGAAGCCGCTCAGAAGTGGTCGTGCTCGATAGCTGAGCCCCATTCCATGCGACGACAACGAACGACACACCCAACACAGGCATAGAGGTGAAAACCGATACGACAGCCTCTGTCCTCCTCAAATTCTAGTCCTTCTGCGGAAGTCTATTGCCTTGCAACGGCCTCCACTGCAGACTGGGTGCAATCGAGATGCCTAGGCTCCCCACCTCGGCTCTGGTGGGGGCACTCCTCCTCTCAGGACTAGGAGCTGCCGAGCCTCTCACGCCGAAACACGAAGCCGGTCGATGCGCCATCCGCGGGCAATGTGGTTCCAAAAGCTGGTTCGGGAAACAGCTTCCCTGTTTAGATAACGGTCTTGCAGAAGACCCCGATGAGGCCGCGAGAAAGGAGCTGGTCCAGCTCTGCGGTCCCAAATGGAGTACCGGCCCAGTTTGCTGCACTGCTGAGCAGGTTAGTTGGACTGGACTGGACTGGACTGAATCGTCGCGGATGAGTTAAAGATAGGCTCCTAATAATTTCGCTTCCTTACAGATTACATCGCTCAAGTCAGAACTGGCGACGGCCAACCAGATCATCTCCTCATGCCCTGCCTGCAAAGATAACTTCTTCAACCTCTTCTGTACCTTTACGTGTTCGCCCGATCAATCACTCTTCCTCAATGTCACGGCTACGGCGCAGAAGGCGGGAAAGACGATGGTGGCGGAGCTTGACCAACTCATCTCCGACGAGTATAGGGAAGGCTTCTATGACAGCTGCAAGGAGGTCAAGTTCGGACCTTCGAATGCGAACGCGATGGACTTTATCGGCGGCGGTGCCAAATCCCCAAACGACTTTCTCAAGTTCCTGGGCGATGAGAAGGCGATTGGATCGCCGTTCCAAATTAACTTCCCGACCAGCTACTCCGAACCTGGTATGGCGCCCAGGGACATGACTCCGAAGAAGTGTAACGACGAAGATCCCAACTTCCGATGCGCTTGCGTTGACTGCCCTGCCGTGTGCCCGGAACTCCCTCCTATCAAGAAGAATAAGTCCTGCCATGTCGGCTTGCTGCCCTGCTTGTCATTTGCGTCCATCCTCACCTACAGCTTGCTGTTGCTTTCATTTGCAGGAACCGTGGTCGGTCGTGTTGCATGGAGGCGCCACACTACGCGACGTACCGAGAGACTCCGATTACTCCAGGATGCGGCCCCCAGCGATGACGAGGATGAGGGAGCTCTGGTCCATAATGGGATGCTATTCGATCGACCTCAACGTTACTACCGCATCAATACTTGGTGCGACAAGGCTTTTAGCAAGCTCGGCCACGCCGCTGCGAGGTTTCCGGCCATTACGATTGTGACAAGCTTGATTGTCGTCGCCATCCTGAGTGTCGGTTGGGTGAGGTTTGACATTGAACGGGATCCTGCAAGGCTCTGGGTTAGCCCCACCTCCGCTGCTGCCGAAGAGAAGGCTTTCTTCGACTCTAATTTCGGCCCATTTTACCGCGCCGAGAAGATTTTCCTCGTAAACGATCAGTCCCCGTCAGGCCCTGGCCCTGTTCTCAGCTACGACACGTTGATTTGGTGGATGGGGGTTGAGGAGAGTATCCGGAAGCTTCAGGGGCCAAAGCTTGGGGCTGCCTTGCATGACGTTTGCCTCAAGCCAACCGGAAAAGCCTGCGTCGTGCAATCAGTCACCTCATATTGGTCCAATGAGCCCTCTCTCGTTGGCAAGGAGACGTGGAAGGATGATCTCCGCGCTTGCGCCAAGTCTCCTGTTGAATGTCGCCCAGATTACGGCCAGCCTCTGGAGCCAACTATGATTTTAGGTGGCTATGATACGGATGTCGTCGAAGCACAAGCCATGACAGTCACCTGGGTCGTGAACAACGCGGCCGAGGGCTCGCCCGAAGTCATGCGAGCCATGGATTGGGAGGCGGCGCTTAGAGATAGGCTCAAGGAAGTACAGGTCGAAGCCCAAGAGCGAGGCCTGAGAATGTCCTTCTCGACCGAAATCAGTCTCGAGGAAGAGTTGAACAAGTCTACGAATACCGACGCCAAGATCGTGGTCATCAGCTACTTGATCATGTTCTTCTACGCCTCCTTAGCACTCGGCTCCACTACGCTCTCGCTGCGCCACATGCTCCGTAACCCTGCGGTCGCCCTTGTTCAGTCCAAATTTACTCTTGGTGTGGCTGGAATTATCATTGTCCTGATGTCCATCACTGCCTCGATCGGTCTCTTCTCGTGGGCTGGCCTCAAGGCCACTCTCATTATCGCCGAGGTGATTCCTTTTATCGTCTTGGCAGTAGGTGTTGACAACATTTTCCTCATCGTCCACGAATTCGAGCGGGTCAATGTGAGCCATCCAGACGAGATGGTCGAGGAACGAATCGCGAAGGCCCTAGGCCGCATGGGCCCTTCCATCCTCTTCTCTGCCATCACCGAGACCGTGTCGTTCGCCCTCGGCGCCTTTGTTGGGATGCCCGCTGTCCGCAACTTTGCCGTTTACGCCGCCGGTGCCGTTCTTATCAATGCCATCCTTCAAGTTACGATGTTCATCTCGGTGCTTGCTATGAACCAGATCCGAGTGGAGGATAACCGTGCGGATTGCATTCCCTGCATCCAAGTCAAGTCCGCCCGCGTTCACCTTAGTGGTGGTGTAAACGGCCACATCGGAAGGTTCTACGAAGTTCCCGAAGAGAGTCTTCTCCAGCAGTTTATCCGCAAGTACTACGCGCCGGCCATTCTGGAGAAGAAGGCGAAGCTTACGATTGTCGGTGTCTTCCTTGGTATCTTTGCCGCTGGAGTTGCCTTGATTCCCGAGATCAAGTTGGGTCTTGACCAGCGAGTGGCGATTCCAGACGATTCGTACCTCATTCCCTACTTCAATGATCTTTACGATTACTTCGATGCCGGTCCGCCCGTGTACTTCGTCACGAGGGAAAGCAACTTTACTGAAAGGGCGCACCAGCAAGAAATCTGCGGACGATTCACGACCTGCCAGCAGATGTCGCTCGCCAATATTTTAGAGGGCGAGAGGAAGCGACCCGATGTGTCGTACATCTCCTCGCCAACTGCCAACTGGTTGGACGATTTCTTCCAATGGCTGAACCCGGATCTGGGTGACAAGTGCTGCGTTGAAAATCGACGCGCCTGCTTCAAGAACAGGGATCCTGCGTGGAACATTACACTTTCGGGCATGCCTGAAGGAGATGAATTTGTACATTACCTGGAGAAATTCCTGAAGTCGCCGACTAACGAGGACTGCCCCCTGGGCGGTGAGGCATCGTATGGACAGGCGATTGTGGTCGATAGCGAACGAGACACTATCGTAGCAAGTCAATTCCGCACCAGCCACTCGCCCTTACGAAGCCAGGATGACTTCATCAAGGCCTACGCCTCGGCGCGGCGAATCTCGTCGGATATCAAGGCGAACACGGGCGTCGACGTGTTCCCGTACAGCGTCTTCTACATCTTCTTCGACCAATACGCCAGCATCGTCTCCCTCACGGGCACGCTCCTCGGCTCGGCCGTAGGCATCATCTTCGTCATCTCCTCCATCCTCCTCGGATCCATCCTCACGGCCCTCGTCGTGACGATCACGGTCGTCATGGCGGTCGTCGACATCATGGGCGCCATGGCCGTCTTCGGCGTGTCCCTCAACGCCGTCTCGCTCGTCAACCTCATCATCTGCGTGGGCATAGCCGTAGAGTTCTGCGCGCACATCGCGCGGGCATTTATGTTCCCCTCGCGCACGCTTATGGAGCGCGCCAAGAATCGGTTCCGAGGGCGCGATGCTCGCGCGTGGACGGCGCTCGTTAACGTGGGTAGCTCGGTATTTTCGGGCATCACGGTTACCAAGCTGCTGGGTGTGTGCGTACTCGCGTTCACGCGGTCTAAGATTTTTGAGATTTACTACTTCAGGGTGTGGCTTGCGCTTGTGGTGTTTGCGGCGTCGCATGCGCTTATCTTCTTGCCCGTGGCGCTGAGCGTGCTGGGTGGCGAAGGGTACGTCGACCCCGAGAGCGAGGGTGGACTGGAGGATGATTTGGCGAGCAGAAGGTATCGGGCTTTGTTGCCGGAGGAGGATACGGATTCGGATGATAGTGAGTATGATGATGGTCATAACTTTGGTCGAAGGGGTTGAGAAGCTGGAAGCTAGACTTGTTCGATACGTCTAGAACTATCGTTATTGTGTTTAATACTTTTCTCTCTCATTTTGTTTCTCCTCCCTTTGTTCTCAGGGACGAGTCTTTCCTTTTATTTTCCTTCTTTTGTTACATCGCCGGCAAAGGGTTGAGATTGGGTCTGGACAGCGACAGGTAGATTATTTAAGCATATTCAATTCAATGGAAGGACAAAGATGATCTTTACATCGAATAGAGGGGAGAAGAGCTTTAAGCTGAGGACAATTTGCTGGGGAGGGTTTGGGAGGCATATGTCCAGGATGGAACTGAACTCTATGTACATCGATGGTGCTTCACACGATACGCTGCCCCGTAGTATGTAAATACAAACTAATATGGTCTAATCCTGTCACCAGCATCTTGCATGGCCCTAATGTTTCAAGTGTCCTCTCTCACTAATGCCATTGGAACTAGGAGTTGGAGCCGCTTAGCAGTGCTCGAGATGATGACCTGGTCGCTCTGTTGCAGGGCCTCTCTCTCTCTCTCTCTCTCTCTCTCTCTCTTTTTTTTTTTTTTTTTTTTTTTTTTTTTTTTTTTGCCGCTGAAAAAGGGGTCAGCGGAAGAGGTCCCAGTTCATTGAAAATCATGCGGGATCAGCTCCATCTAAAGCGCCAACTGGACCAGGCACACTTCGCTTATGAACTACGGAACTACGTAGAAAGGGGAACCACCAAGGAGGGTGTCTAAGTGGGCTCGTTTATGGAGTGGGCTGCCTCAGGTGTAGTGGATGGGAGGCTGCAGAGTTTCCCCCTTCCCGCAAACACCCTCGTTTTAAGTCGTGGGGTTCCCGCCGCGGTTCTAGTGCCAGTCGCTTGATAGCCTGGGTTATGCGGGGCGAGTTTTGTTTACTTCCTAGATTCATTGATCTACTTGTATATCTTGGGTTATTGATACGACGTCCCTTTCTTGAGGGCAACTGGAGGGTAGTAATTTAGACTCGGGATCGGTTACTTCGACGCTTGGAATCCAATGACGACGATTTCCATTCACAAAGCTATGGAAGCCATCGATTGATTTGATCGTTTTGGCGCTTGGGGATGGTCCTACGTCAACGTTTCGGAGGCACGTGGGAACATTTAAAATGAGCGGGGTTGCCCTTCGTTTAAACCAAGTTACAAGTCTCAACGTTCGATCCTTGATTTGGTTGATTGGGGTCAAACGAAGCGACTTTGAAATTGATCAAGGCCAATTCGATGACCGGGGCGGTTCGGTTCGGTGGGGCGACGCCCGGCCAGCCGCTCTTTCCTTCAGGAAAGTTAAATTGCGTCCTAGTTGGCTGCCGGTGGTGCAATGGAACAAGGAGTGGCGGAGCCCGCTGGGAGTACATCTGGGAGCACATTGATTGATTTGATGTCATACCTCCGCAGTCTCATGAGTTGATATTGGAGAGGGAGCCAGGAGTCATGAGTCAATAGATGGATGTTCACTCCTAGACTAATGCATTGAGAGCCAATCTGTTCGCTAGCATAGATCGAATCAAAATGAGATGAGAGGATAAAAGGTGGACAAGTATGAAGTAGTGTAGTCTTGATCTTTACCAGATGCGGAGAGAAGTTCCAGACCTCTACGGAGTAGACCTCTAGCCTGGGTCTGGTCGGCCCCTAAACAGTGATCATGATGCTAAATATGCTGCCTCCCGCAGGTACCATGCTGTGCGCCCTCGACATAATTAGAGAGGATTAAATTGGTTCTGGCCGTTCAGTATAAATTGTAATTGTACATTGATCATCGACGCAACTTTGAACCTGCCCATACAAAATTTGCAGTAACAATACCAGTACTTCGTATGTAGGAGAGTACAAAGTCGTGTCCGAAACCCAAACTGGCCCCTCCCTTTGCTTAACCTTGTCATCCCCCCCTTGTCATTGCTGTCACCTTCTGCCGTCTCCCAATATCATCCAAGGACCTTCTTCTCTGAGCGCCCCTTGTCCTCTCCTCCCCTGGACTATTCTCTCCAATAAACCACCACATCTTGTGATTGTCCTCAAGCTTTCTTTCCAACTTGACAAACCATCAGTTTCAACACCTTCTGCCCATCTCATCCATCCCGTCGCCGACGACTTAATTCGATTGAATTGACGCCTAACCCCCCCAGCTCCATCTCGACACCGCCGCCGCCATGCCTGGAATTCGTAAGTTGACGCCATCAATGACCCCCCCGAGATTTTATCCCTCATTCCACCGCCTGCACTGGACATTCTCATCACCTTCAGAGCTCGCCGTGTTTTTTTCGCCTCTGCATTCATGATACTTCCACCTGCATTTTGCTATCACCCCGAGTGCGCCAAGAACTGCCCGTCCGCAGTGCACAGTCCTGCTAATACGTCATTGTGTCTTCCCACAGCTCTCGACGCCCTCGACAACTTGGTCGGCAAGTTCAAGACCGTCTTCAAGAAGAAGAAGCCTGCCAAGCCCGCGGAGGCCAAGCCCGCGGAGGCCCAGCCCGCCGGACCGGCTGCCACGACGACTACTCCTGCTGCTACCGAGCCTACTAAGACCGAGGCCGCCCCCGCCGCCGCTCCTGCTACTGCTCCTGCTCCTGCTCCCGGTTCGTGCCGTACCGCCTTAACGGCCAATACGCCTGAGAGATCTTTTTGGTTAACATAAATGGATATCATAGGTGCCGAAGCTCCTCCTGCTGCTGCTGCTGCTGCCGCCCCTGCTGCTGAAGCTCCCAAGGAGGCCCCCGCTGCGGCTGAGCCTGCTGCTGCCACAACCGCCGCTCCTGCTGCCGAGCCCGCAGCCGCTCCCGGTATACAATGCTCCCAAGACGTCGAATTCGAGGATAGAGGCCGAATGATGATCTGCTAACATGTTATTGATGCAGCTGCTGCTGAGGCCGCCCCTGCACCGGAGGCTGCTAAGCCTGCGGAGCCAGCCGCTGCTACCGAAGCTCCTAAGGAAGCCCCCGCTGCTGCTCCTGCTGCTCCCGCTGCTCCTACTGAGGCTCCTGCTGCCGAGGCTGCCCCCGCCCCCGCTGCCGCTCCTGCCCCTGCCGCTGCGCCAGCCCCTGCGGCCGCCGAAACTCCTGCTCCCGCTGCTGAGGCTCCCAAGGAGGAGCCAAAGGCGGAGGCTGCGCCTGCTGCCCCAGCTGCCGCCACCACTTCCTAAGCTTACTGCTGGTTTAATGCCTTCACGAACATGATATGATGCCTAACCCAGCGGACGATGTGAACGATTTGTCTGGGAAATCGGGGGGGAATGGCTTGGGGGTTGCAGAGACTTTTCTGTCTGGTAGTGCCGGTGGACGTTATTGCTTCTTTTTTTCCAAATTTGTTGGTTTTTTTTTTTTTTTTTTTTTTTTTTGGTGAAGTTGGATTTTGATAATACCCAGGTGAGAATTCAGGGCGGGAGACGGAAGATGGAGAGGCAGGGGGGATAGTTGGCAGGAGTTTCCCTCACCTTATTCAGACCACTTTCATTATGCATAGTTTGAAGAAGAATCAAACTACATTCAATTCAGACGCATCTCTGAAGTAGCCTCAGTCAACCAACAATAAGTAAAATATGGGGATCAAGGTTGCGTGTTGTTTCTCGGCGTTGTAGGGGACGTCTTATACGGCTTGCATTTCAGTCCTGCAAGGTCCCGCACCGGCAACGCTTGGCATCCTAAAAGCTTGGGGAACCGGATCTCTCGGCACTGTCCATCCCTGTCTCCGGGAGGGCACCACGCTGCTGGGAGATGCCAAGGCGTATTAGTCTAGCCGTCAGTTGTCTTTGCTTTTATGTCTTGGCCAGGTCGGCGTAGACAACCAATCTAGGCTTAGGATAATGAGCCTTCTTTGTCTTTCCGCGTTTGCGAATTTCTCTTTCAAGGATGGACATGGAAGAGTTTGCTTGATGGGGAGGGGCGGCGTATCATCATCGAAGGGGAGAGACATGTGAGGCAGGGCAGCGATCTGGAATATATTCGAGGGGGCGTGCCTGTCTTCAAATTCGATCCATTTCTGCCCCTGGGTTCAGAAAGCTCCAGCAGCAGGGTAAGGGATGGCATTCCTATATATTCGAAAGAGCGAGATGTCTATCGACTCAACGCTGCCTCGTTTGAGCCCGTTTCGACGGCTAGGCACATCAGCATCCTGATACTTCACATCGATGCCTATGAGTTCTTTCGATTCTAGAGCTGGCGTTTGCATGGCGAATATATATAAGGGTCTCACGGTACCGTCCTCGAAGCTGGGATCTCGAGTTCTCACTCTCTCAATCCTTACCGCACAGGCACCCACATGCGCTCCTTAGTTCGACAACATCTACGGCCTCCCACTACTTCTGAGCTTGCCCCATCTCTTGACCTACTCGCCTACGAAGTCCACCATGTCTTCACACAATAAACTCTTGCGCCACTCGACCAACAACCGGTCCCGCGTGAAACAGGAAGAAGACGTCGACGACACCGCCCTCGAGGTAGTCAACTCAGCAGCCAGGTACACCCCACCCGGAAACAGTACCATGAGCACCATCTCTCGGATGATCTCCAGCGTCACAGGCATCCTCCCCTCCACGGACAAACCGACCATCAACTTCAACATCCTCAACATGACGGACACCGAGCAGCCTGCCGCCTCAGCCTCCTCCTCGCCAAACCGGAACACGAAGCGACCGGCCCCGCGCGTTACGAACCGGTCTAACCGCCAACAGGAAAAGGCAAAGCATAGAAAGACTGCAAGGGCTGGTAATAATAATGCATTGGTGAGGAGGGCTGGTGCGGATGTGCTCATCAAGAACCACGCTCCGTTGGTCATTAGCATCACGGAGACGACTGGGCTGAATTCTGGGGAGAGGGCGAGGAAGACGATGGATACTATTCTTATTGATTTGATTGATCATGAGGGGATGGTGAGGAGCTATCGGCTTTCGACGAGCTTGGCTGTGGATCAGGTTTATACTTTGAGAGCTCGCGACTCTTGAGTTCTGGGAGTGGAATAATTCCCATATTCGAGAGAGAACTATGGTTTCATCTCACAGGAGATATAACGCTTCCGCGGATAGCTGTTAGGATAATAGGATAGGGAGACTGGCTCTTGAGGTTGGAGAGATAACCTGGGCCATATAGGAAACGGCTGCTCTCAGGAGATGGAAGGGGCAGATTGTCCTTTTACTTTCTCACGGAATTATTTGCTTCGCCCTGGAGTTTTGAATCTAGAGTAGAACACGAATAAAAATTGAAATAAACGTCCTTGAAATTCATTTTTTAAAGATTTACCGAGTATTCATGTATTGTATGACCCCTCAGGGTTGAGGTTGAGCGCGAAGGTGAAAGAAGTGCATCTCACGATGACTAAGCCTCGTCTCATTCATCCCATCCCACTTCCAACACTTCCAACATCATCTCAGCCGATATAGGAAGCAACTACATCAACATCAAACATCATCAGAAAATTAAGAAACAAGACGATATCCTCAGATACCCACTGCATTTTTGTTTTCATACCCAATATCCGTCATATAACCCCATTCTTAATCGAAATATGGAGCCTCCAGCACCACCCCGCCAGGCGGCATCCTTTCCCACCCTCGCAGTCCTCGACCCCACCACCCCCCACACATTCACCAAGCCCTCCAAACGGATCAACGAAGGGCCCGACGTAGAAACATTCTTAGTCTCAAAAGCCTACAGAGATATCGGCATCTTCATCATGCAACTAAACAGGGCCATGTGTCCCCGGAAAATGCCCGGCCCCGCGAGGCGCGAAACGGCAAGGACGTGGACGCTCGACACCCTGGCGGAGTCGTCTCTACCGGCGTCCGTGAAGGGGCTAAGGGGCTTATTGAAGAAAGTGGAGGCTATGGTGGAGGAGGCACCGCCAGATCCCGGCCCGAGACGGTTCGGGAATGTGAGCTTTAGGAAGTGGCATAAGTTGGTGGAGGAGAGGACTGATGCGTTGATGGATGAGTTTATTGACGAGGCGGTGTTGAGCTTTCCTTCTTCTTCGTCTTCTTTTGATGGGGAGGGGGGGAAGGCGGGGCCGAGGGATGAGTTGCGGGCGTACTTCTTGGGAGGATTTGGGAGTGAGCAGAGATTGGATTATGGGACGGGGCATGAGTTGAATTTCCTGGCCTTTTTGGGGTGTCTTTGGAAACTTGGCGCTTTCAAGGATGGTAAAGAAGGAGGAGATCTAGAAAGGAGCTTAGTTCTTGGCGTCCTTGAGCCGTATGTGTCCTTATTCTCCCCCTTTCCCTGGAATATATACACGGGAGCATGGCTAATCTTCATCTTAGTTACCTTCACGTCATCAGGCGTGTCATCCTCACCTACACCTTGGAACCCGCAGGATCTCACGGCGTCTGGGGTCTCGACGACCATTCGTTCCTCCCGTACATTTTTGGCTCCGCGCAGCTTACACGGCCGATTACCGACGACGAGCCCATGCCCCTTGAAGGGTCCGTCAGAGGCGCTCCCAAGACTGGAGATGTCGTCAAATCCGATGTCGTGGAGCGCGAGCGTGAGAGGAACTTGTATTTCTCGGCTATTGGATTCATCAACGACGTGAAGAAGGGCCCATTTTGGGAACACAGTCCTATTCTTTTTGACGTCTCTGGGGTCCAGGACGGATGGGGAAAGATTAACAAGGTATGTATCCTTCACTTAAGTACAAGGCATCCCCTTTCTTCAATGTCCGATTTGCTAATTTCTCTCGAAAAATATAGGGTATGATCAAAATGTTTAACGCAGAAGTTCTATCAAAGTTCCCCGTCGTCCAACATTTCCCCTTCGGCTCCCTATTCTCCTTCGACGAAGACCCCGAGGCCTCTATCCCAATTCAATCCGTGCACATGGCCAACCAGCCTACGGCCATGGCTTGTCCATTACCTTCGGGGGGTATGGGATTAACCGGAGCCCCTTGGGCCCAAGCCGGTGGAATGCCTCGGCCTACGGGTCCTGGGATTCCGTACTCGCGGATTCCCCCGGGCGGAGTAACACAACGGCCCGGGCCGGCAAGAGGCCCACCGAGAGGCGGCCCTGCGTAAAAGATTAGAAATAAAAAAAGCTGAAATGCTAGTGGGGGGCAGGGGAGAAGCAAATGGAAGGACTTCGATTCCGGGTTCTTCGGATTAGGATTTCTCAAAGAGGAGGGGGTGCCTAGGATGGGCTCTAAAAGGGACTAGTCATAAGATATGAATGTGAACGAGTATCATGAACAACCAAACAAATCTCAACAGACTAGCGAAGCTAAAACTTGGCCAAGAAAACGATGGAGAGTATAATGTGACGCGATTTGATTTTTTTCTTTTCGTCGATTTATTCTGGCGTTTAGCTCACCTAAGCTACCTCATTGGAAGCATAAGCAACCGTGAAAAATTACAAATTCAAGCTGAAGGTATGGAGAGGTCCGAAGAAAAGGGGGGCATCCCCGGGGGAAACCCACCCCATTATGACGCCTACCATTCCCTTGGTAACCCTTATCCTACCTTAATGCTGGGCGTTTAAGGAATCCCCGGGTACATGGGAGGCGGGGACCACCGGGGACCGATAAGCGCCGCCTCGGCCTTAAAGGGAAACTGCTCATGCCCGAATATGATCAGCGGTGGGCCGAGTGAGAAAGCTTCCCGTAAACTTGACCGCCACAGCGTGGGAATTAGGAAATTTACAGGAAGTGTATTCTTATGCATATCTGTATTGTTACAAAAGACATAGTCTATTCTATAATTTCAGACGTGGTGCTTAAAACCCCGAGCATTTCTTTTTTAAGCTGGAGGTAAGAAGGACGCGAAGAGGACACCTTGAACGGAGGCGTAGAGGACCATGTACATAACAATGTTGCGGGGGGGGCTACTGCGGGATTTGCTCTGGAGGGAGCGAGCTACCCAGATGTACCATATAGGGTAGGCAGAAGCGAGGCGCGTGATGACCTGGACGTGATAGTTTGTGAAGGCCAGTAGGGCGAGCAGACCCTGGCCGACAGATAAGGACAAGAGGAGACGGGTAGAGGGTGTAGTGGATCGCAGATCGGTGATGACGGATGGTATCATGGGCACAATGGTGGTGTAGGAAGAGGTGAGCATGAGACCAAGCATGGGCAGAGCTAGAAGGAAGAGTGGGAGGTTTCCCAGGGTCCAGTAACGGAGGAAGCCGCAATTCCTAAAAGAAAGTATGTATGTTAAGGGTCCCATCCTTTTTCCTTAGCTAGAAACAGACTTTTTGGTTCTAGGTAAATCTAATCCCCTTTTCGGAGCTAGTCGGGATGAAGGTGGGTGGTGGTGGTGGGGGAAAGGTAAGTGTTTTAGCGGGTTCAAAGAGAAGAAACGTACCAGTACTGTTCTTGCACAAAGTCATAGATGCTAGGGACCAGCTTCGTGCACCAGGGTCTCTTCAGCCCGCCGTCGCCGGATGCTTCGGAACAGTAGCGCAAATAAGCGACGATCTGGGGTGCCACACTCCCCAGCCCGACGAGGACCCCGCCGACGATGGTAGAAGTCACGGTAAAAGCGTTGGTAAGCCGCGGCGAGCGCGCAAACACGTGAAGGGTGGCTAGTAGCTCGACGACGAAGATGATGCCGTTGAGGATGCCGTTGGTTCTACATGTTGTGGCGAGGCCGAGCAAGGCGCCCGAGATAATTAGGCCCAGACCATGGCGGACCGCAGATCCTCCCTCCGATGACACATAGACGAGGTAGCCCGCGAACGAGAGACAGGCGAAAAGGGACTCGGCGTAGGGTGCGGAGAGGAAGAGGCCGGCTGGGGATAGTACGTGTAGTAAGCTTGTAGTCAGAGCAAGGTTCCCGCGGCCGGGGAGGAGGCGTCGGACTAGGGAATAGAGGAGGAACACTGTGAGTAGGTGACTCAAATGAGACACGGCGATGGCAGCTAGGGCCGCCGACTTCACGGTGAGCTGCCCATGGGGCCCTAGGCCGAGGCGAGATGCCAACGGGAGGACGACCCTGGACACTAGGAAGGGCAGGCCAGCGCCGAAGGCCCACTCTTGCTCGAAGACGTAGCCGCGGTTCGCCGACTGGGTGAAGTAGATGGCGTCCCAGCGGGTGAGTCGGGCTGCGATGATGTCAGTTAAGCTCGGCGAAGGTGGGAGGAGGGAAGCTGAGGAGGCGGCGGCGGCGGCGACATGGTCGGGTGGGAGGTTGAGCGCTAGAGACGTGGAGGTGTCATATGATGGGGTAGTGGAGCTGCCCAGGGCGATGGCGAGGAGGAAGGCTTTCCAGGCGACGAAGACCCCGAGGAGGATCGTCCTGTCGCTGGTGGACGTGCCCTGTTGAGACTTGGCCATGGCGATCTTCTCCGGGGAGCTTGATCGATTTCTTGGAGAGCTCTGGTGTATGCAGGGTCTCGTCTATTTCGTAGCTCTGGGCTTCTGCCCATCTAGGGCGGGCGCTGTCGACACGTAAAGCTCGGGAAATCCGGAAATTAGGCGAAAATGTGTCGGTCGTGGAGGAGTAGTGTGAGTTAATTAGAGTCACGAGAAGAGAATTGGCCGGATCAATTGATCTCACTTGGTCTATCCTCCGTCGCGGGCAGGTATGCCTCGAGCGTCCACCGTTACCCGTTGGTGAGGTTCGAAATTAGAAGTACGCGACCGCGACTTCTCAGTTGCAGTTGCACATGCCAAATTGCGAATTGCCTTGCAGGGACGGCAAGTTCCGTCTAACCAAAATTCCGAGTTCGAGTCGACTTGATGCGAGTTCGATCTCCACAGAAGTCGGGACGGATCGTAGGAAATGGAATTCCGCAGGATTTGGAATAATCAACTCAACCGGTCAAACTTTTTTCATCTTTTTTTGCTCCTTTTTTTTCGGTATACGAGGCTAAAAGTTCCACCTGCGGAACCCTGGTGGAGATCTGCTCTATGCGTAGCCTCGCCCGAGAGATGACCTTATTTTCCCGGTTTGCAGAGAATAAGAGCAGAGAAGAAACTAGCAAAAACCCCACAGCGTGGAGTGCCTCGGCTCCGAAGAATATGTTGTACGAATAATTGTGGTTCGGAAAACGAATTTGATCAGGACCCATGGCCCGTTGAAACAAAATCTTAATCCGAATACTCGGACATGGAGTCCGCGGATAGGTGCATTTCGATGTCCGTTTCCGATGCATGCAGGCCGAGAAATCGCCAGCTGTCTGCGAATAAACCGCGAAGGGACGGAGTCACACTTTGTACCTCAGTAGTGTCCATGAATCAAGTGCCTGCAGAGCCTTTTGCTTCAATGTTCCATTGTTTCTTCCCACTTCGTCGGCCCAGTCCCCCCAGGCCCTGGCAGGACTAGCTTGTGGTGGAGCTTATCCTGTTCTGTCCTGGGTCCCCAGCAATATTAAAAACGGCGCTGAACTGCGTCATCAATCAGAACATGATCTTAATCCTCACGGTGAGTGCCGTTGTACCGAATCTCTTGGCAAAGTGCGTGCAGGACATCCGCGCCAAGCCCTTGTTACGAAGGGTAAAGTATCATTGTATCTCTCGAGCGCACACGATCAATACGGCCGAGGGGGGTCTGGCCTGCTCCGGGAGCCATGGAATCCGAAATGATATCCTCGTCTCATATAACCTACTACTCGTACTCGCCTGTAAACAAAGTTCTCAAAGGCCCTTGGCGGCTGCAATGCGTTGATGATCGTCGAGGTTACCTTAAAGGCCCCTGCAACCAGATGCGCAGATACTCCCGCATCTCAATTAATCCCACGTCTACGCTAAGCCTGGCCTGGTCCACCACGTATTTGACGATAGACGTGTCCCGACTAGTTTGCCCTCTCGCTCGTCTCCATCAGGCGGTGGCCCACAGCAGGGAACGACTAATCAGCTGTTGCGGAAGCATCCACCAGCGGAATCGATTCAACCCGCAGCGCCGACCGCCTTCTTGTGGAATTGCGTTTAGAATGCCCTCAACTGCTAACCCACATGATGCTACAGCAAACAGTACGATACAGCAGGCAACAGAATTTCACATCTCTCACCTGGGGCAGGTCGATGGAATAGCGTAGTCGAGGCAACATGACTCGTACGAGACTGCTGTTAGAATGGTCAATGTAAACTCTGCCTCCCTATTATGAATTGAACGAGCCAATTCTACGGACTTAATTCGTAGACATGAAATCAAATCGTTGGGACATCAAATTCCTCCTTCGGCGCCAAAGCCAGGCGGTCTGGCGGCTAGCGAAAAAAGAGTGGGTGCCAAACACCACAATAGCAGTCTTCGCGCCTTCGCTGTGGCCGAGAGACGTGCGAAAGAGAGTGCGGATCGGGGTTACCCATTCCCTCGTAATCAGTATTAGCTACTCTTAGCTACCAGCTACCAGCTACCAGAATTCCAGATCCCTCGGTGCCGATTTCCCAAATGGATCAGAGGCTAGAAGCTTCAAAAAGTTTATTTAACAGCGGCCTCGGGAAGTTGAATAATACGCCCGGTGGCATTTAGTAATAGAGGTAAATCTAAGTAAATCTAGGTAAATCTAGGTCTGCGATTAGAGTGTGCTCGAGAACGTCATGGTCTCTTGGCCCGACAGAATTTCTTTGTGATCGTGATCTTCTCCTTTAAAAGAGCCCAAACATGTCTTCGTTTCCTGCTGCGGTGTAAGATCCTGTTTAGCCAAAGCAGTTTGTGATGCAGCTTCCCATTCCACGTGGCTGGTCCCAGTTCCAGTCCCAATCCTGATCCTAGTCCAAGTCCATTGGCAGGCTCCAGTCGCATTCGGGTTTGCTTCTCGAGTGAGCTCTGGAGCTCTCGACGACTCCAGTGTCTATTGTCCTCCCATTCTCGTACTTCGCATTGCACGTCCGCCCAGAAGTACTTCGTACTCCCGCCCCTCCATCTTCGTATCATACTACCCGTTTCTATTACAACCACAGCGATTATTCCGGGATAATCAGGCAGCACTTTAGTGCTAGCTCTCACTCCTGCATGTTCTACTGCGGTGTCGCCACCGATCTTACGAGGAATCACGGAGTTTGCAGCCCTATCCCTGACCGGAACCAACAATTTCCACCCGTCCGCCCGTCTCCCCAGCTTTCCTGACCACCAAGCCTGTCACTGGTCGTCACTGGTCAGCAACGCAACCACCCATCTCCTGTCGAAGGGAGAGTCGCAGCCGTACCACCATAGCCACCCCCGTTCCGGGTCACCTTCCCTCCTCTTTTGGGAGTTGTCACGGCAAAAATAGAGAAATAAGGGGATAAGCTTATCGTCACACAGAAAAAGGGAGCCTCAAATAGGGTCGGCTGCTCAAGGTTGCCCCCCTTCTCGTCTCTTTGCCTCTTTCCATCCTCCAAACATCAAGTATCACATTTGCACGCAGACGCATCGCGACCGTCCAAAATAAGAGGCAGAAAGAGCAAGCAGGATCAATAGGTTCCACTCGGCTGGGTCCAATTGAACAAATCCCGGGAGACTATCCGAAGAAGACGCGCAAAGCAAAATAATTACCCCAGCGACACGAGGGCCAGTTTAAAGGAGAGAAAGAGCACGCAGAAGCACAAGCACATACGCACACGACCTCGCCTTGACCAGTGCTGTTTGCCCATCCAAGGACAGCCCCCACGTCAAATCCAAGACAATCCTCATCGTACTCGTATTTCTCGCTTTGTGCTCAACTCTCCTCTCCGCTTCTCTCTACTGACCTAGACCTGCCCTCCTTGGATCCTTGGATGCAAAGAAGCGCAGCTCTATCGACCGATTAGCGCTTGGATTGATCGAAGCCTACATACAGCTTACAGGGGTACAGCTGTACATCAGGTTGCCCTCAGCCCAACCTTCTTTTCTCTGACCGCCACAACCCTTGAACCTTCGAAGGCTCCTTTGGCACTATAATACTGGTTACTGTCATCTCTTTTTTTCTCAAAATCATTGATCGCGCATCTTGAAGTCTCTCCGTCTCCCCTTCCGCCTCGGAGAGTCGGGCACCAAATTCCCCGTCGCGGCTCACATCGGACTTCAACCTGGCTGCACATTACATGGTCTCCCCGCCTTCTCACACCTTGCCATTCACGTCTTAACACCATCTTAGCCTACCCGGGCTTCCCGACGAGTGTCATCGTTGGGAGAACCCCTTCTATTGAAACCTGCGGGTCTATCATATCCATCTGACAGGACGACTTTGGTTTCATTTTCGGCATATCAAAATAAGGCTGTCGCTTGTTGCCAATCCCCTTGCGCACACCTTTTCTGTCGTTTCCCTCGGCTTCGGTTTCTTGTTTCTTACCCACCGCCCCTAGTGAGCCTTGGCACACACACCGTTTCTAGTCGCCGTTTGCTCACCTTTCTACCCACTTTCTTCACGAGCCTCCTCGGGAACCGCGTATTGTAGATTGTCCGTTTGGGCTAACTAGCCCAACCCAACCCATCATCCCATCCCAACCCGCTGCATATCCATTGCTAGCCCTGCAAGGTCTTGTCCCCCACCCCACTGACCGACTGTCCTCCACCTACACCTGCAGCAGTGTCTTATCCTGGATCGACCCAACTCGCCGATTCCAATTCCAACTCGTGATAGCACCACCGGCCATCATCGCAGCCCGCCCCGCCTGCTCCTGAACGCTCGGTCATTTTTTTTTTCTTTTCTTTTTCTTTTTTTCTTTTTTCTTCTTTTTTCTTTTCCCCGATCCTCCGACCCAAAACGGCCTGGGCTCTTTTTTTTTGAATTCCATATCCGGTCCGGAAGCATCGGCTAGACACTGGTGCTATGAAGTACCTATCCAGTCTGCCTTTCGCGAATGTTTAAGAGGCATTCGCCACGACAATGTTCCTTCACTCTGGGGCCAGTCTGCATGGCCACGAATATTCATCGCCGCCACCGCAAAACCGTCCACCATTACGGATACCTTATTTGAGATCCGCTCTTCGACAGATGTCGGATCACGAAACTAACACAACCTACTCAACCCCACGACGCCTCTCATTCCAAGACGAAGAACCCAACGCCAAAGGCCAAGCATCATCATCCTCCTCCAGGCCGGAATCTTTTATAGAATCACCCGGAACCCCCACACCAGAAGTGCGAGCTTTCCGACCCCGACCCAAATCGGAATCCTTTTCTAGAAGTCAGCATGTTGTGAGATTCGCGGAACCGGAGTCCGATGCAGACGAGCCAAGGGAACTAAGGGAACCAAGGGAACCAAGCGTGCAGCCTCGATCCGACGTACGGTCACCAACCGTTAACTGGGCAGTCCATAGCGAAGACGAGAGTGCATACTCCGAACTCAGTGACGGGAATTCCACGTTGCTTTTCCACGGGAGAAAGAAGAGGAGGACCCCGAGGTCAGCCATGCGATATCTGGTTGCGCAG